GTGAACGATAGCCTGCGGCCGTGTGTCTGTCCAGACGATCGCGTTGCAGAGAGGCTCGCCAGTCTCATGGTCCCAAACGACGGTAGTCTCCCGCTGGTTTGTGATGCCGATCCCCTTGATACTGTGTCGGGAGTAGCCCTTCGATTCAAAGTGTTTGACCGCCTCTTCGATGCACGTCTCAACAGACGACACCAGCTCAAATGGGTCGTGTTCATGCCATCTGTGGACGGTCAATCAGCATCAATGCTGCTAAGCGAATTCATTTCGAGCGGATATACCCAGGATTGGGGTAGATCTGTGTAAACTCAACCTGATGCGATGCTACAGGCTCACCGTCTCGGTTGAAAATCAGAAATCTGGAACTGGTTGTACCCTGATCAATCGATCCCACAAAGATCTCTGAGGGCTGCATGATTGCTTGGTCTTATGGGTTGCGCCTATGCTCGGGACTTTGGAGCAACAGCGGCTTGGGGCAGTAAAGCGGACGGCGAACCCCACAGAGAGTGTGTGTATATGTTCGAAAGCAAAGAGTGGAAAAACCACACCTTGGAGATAGATGCCATTCTATCTTAAATAATTCTCGAGCAAGCTATCCCACGCCATATTCCTGGTCACACAATTTTTCCGTCTCGCATTTGATCTGCGGGGAATCTCCTTGAGACGGGGGGCGCATTCGAGTGGACTGGGTGGTCATGGTTAGGGAGGGGTGGCCGAAAATCGAATAATGGAAAAGCATAATAATAATAATGGGAACTGGGAAGAGAGTCCTCCGTAAGCTGAGAGGAACGAGCCAGACCAGAATCCAGATACCAGGGAATCCAATAACGCGACTGAACCCGAACAGTGCTCTAGTGTAGCGGCTGGCCAAGCCCATGCCTAGGGACAAGCGACTAGAGAGATGTCTGTCTCTGTTGTGCCCCAATGAGAGAGAAGAGCTGGGAGACGGGCTCGAGAGCCGGTCATTGTGAGAGCCGTCAGTTTCAGCAATTCTAAATGGACGAGAATGAACGGCTTGCAGCAGATTGTCCTGTCAGGCTGTCACTTTCGACCTCTGTTGGGCTCTATCTCGGGTGGTTGCGTGCCGACCAACATGGATATTCCCGGGAGGAGTCTGTCAGATCCATCGTTTTTGTCTCGATGGTTCAATAGTTAGATTCAAAGTCGCACTCTGGTGGTTCTCTTGTAGCAATAATAGCCTAGTCTCATCATATCGGGGACAAGGAGAGAACGAGAGAAGGCAAGGTGGAGCACGAGACAATACCGAGCTAGAATTCCACCCGTGCACTTGGGATTTTCTCATCGACACCTCCTCCCAGCGTTCATCCGATTTCATCCACAATTATTCATTGTTTCGTTTGCTGAGCTTCCGATCCATGCAATACTACCTACCTGCATGAGAAGCATGTGTTATTCGAAGCCAAACAGACCTATCTTGCGTCGTTGCCATTGTCCAGTCACAGAGGAAGTGATCGGCCCCCAGGCCCCCCACAGCAGTAACCATGCCGGAGGAATTGCGGGGACTGTCATCAATGGGGAAAACGATTAGTCGAATGATAGTCATCCCATCCAAAAGTTCCAGAACCTTGTGGAGCACAACTGGAGATATCTCGCAGCGTGGAGAGTCGATCTCGACCGAGCCGCAAGACAGTCCATCAGAACATGGAGGGCAGTCTTGAAGTAGGCCAGTCGCACCAACAACAAGCTTTTCTGTGCTCATGGAATCATGAAACCTGCGAGAAGAAAAATCGACCAGGCAGATACTCAATAATTGCCACTCATCAAGGACATGGGCAATCTTCACGCTGAATTCACCAATCTCGAAGACAGCCGATCATCCCAGCGGAAATTCCTCAATCCTTGCCCTCTCGTTGCTACTTGGACATGTCAGGAGGTAACACAAGCACGAATTGGGAGTCATGTCCACAAACGTTATGCAGGCATGGCCCGAAGCCCCTCCTCGGTGTCTCAAACCTTCCAGTGTCTGGCCACTTGGTATGCCTCAAGACGGAATGGTTCGAGATGTCGACTAGGTCGAACAGGCTCATGCTGTGTTCGAGGATGCGACTGAAAAGTAGGTTACTCCGACTGGAGCGAACGAATGGCAGTTTTTCGCCTCGGTCGTTCATGGCTGGTTCTCCCTCAGCCCTCCCAACCCCGGCCGGAATTGAGCAATCAGACTTAGGCCCTTATAGTTTCCTCGAAGGACGACAGCCCTTGCCATGACGTGGCTGTATGATGCCGCTTTGCGCAGCAAAGAATCTCTTGGGCATTTTCTTTTCAAATCTAATCTTACTCTGTCTCTGAGCGCATGGCTGACGGGCTTCTATGGCACAATGCACGCATATTCCAGCAAAGGCATAACCTTACTGGGGGTGTCACCATGCGTGTCAGGAAAAGAATGAGCAGGTTTGAATGTGCCACTCAAGGAAAGTGACACCCAGGACTGCATATTTCAGTGCCCTATATCTGGGTTCAAGGACTATAATCAGATTGTATAGCAATGCCTATTTTCACACGGCAAGTTCCACTTGTGAACGGCATTTTCCCTCTAATATCAGGTCTTGATGCACTGTTATTCACCTGCATGCTCACCCAGGTCATTCACTTGTTTTGGTATTTATACCTTCCTACTTCAAGTCTCACCTCGACAGCCTCAACATTCACCTCTTTACATCTCTGCCAACCTGTGCTGTGGTCTTTAAAGGCTGTCTTGATCTAATCAATATGACTATCCTCAAACAAGTCCTCGGCAATACAGACATACAGGAAAGTGCATTCGTCACTATGACTGCCAGCAATAAAGGCGGATCTTCTGTGCTGGATACTACTTTTGGCTCCGAAGAGACTCAAGTTATTCTTCCTGGATCAGGTTGGAGCAAGGTCCGGACTTATTGCCGCGATGCATTCTCCGAGTTCTTCGGGACTATGATCCTCATCCTGTTTGGAGACGGAGTGGTTGCCCAGGTCACACTCAGCAAAGGCCAGAAGGGTGACTATCAATCAATTTCCTGGGGCTGGGGGTGAGTGTCTTTTGGTTTGCCCTCTCCTTCTTCTGGGCATTTACTAACGGAATTGCTCTTCAGGATCGGAGTCATGTTGGGTGTCTACGCAAGTGGCATCTCCGGAGCACACATCAACCCTGCAGTGACCTTTGCAAACTGTGTCTTCCGCAAATTCCCCTGGCGAAAATTCCCCGTCTATGCGATTGCCCAGGTACTGGGAGCTATGTGTGGAGCGGCCATTGTCTACGGAAACTACAGATCGGCCATCGATGAGTTTGAAGGGGGAGCAAACATCCGAACGGTGCCTGGGTATTCTTCTACAGCTACCGGGGGTATCTTCTGTACCTACCCGGCGGCATTCATGACCAGGACGGGACAATTCTTCTCAGAGTTCATCGCCAGCTCCATCCTGATGTTCATGATATTTGCTCTGAAAGACGACGGAAATCTCGGGGCCGGTCTCCTTACACCGCTTGCGCTTTTCTTTGTGATCTTTGGCATTGGTGCCTGCTTTGGGTGGGAGACTGGGTATGCCATCAACCTAGCTCGAGATTTCGGGCCCAGATTGGTTTCCTATATGATCGGATACGGCCCGGAGGTCTGGAAGGCCGGGAACTATTACTTTTGGGTATGCTCTGACTCTATTGCTTATGGTGACTGTCGATGTGGAGGACTAACAGCTCTACCGCAGATCCCCATGGTAGCGCCATTCCTAGGGTGCACTTTCGGCGGATGGATGTACGATATGTTCCTGTACACGGGGACAGATAGCCCAGTGAACACCCCATATGTCGGACTGCGGCGGCTGATTCTGCCTGTGGAGAAAAAGACTGTGGACTCGCAGAGTCGAGTATGACGGGAAGTAACAGAATGAATTGACGAGCTTATGTGACACGTTTTGAGGGAAGGACAGGAAGAACAGGATTGGATGGTTCTTGGGACTAGCATATTTTGTTGAAACGATGATTACGGCCTTGTGTGATACAAAAACGCTTCATGTACTCCATGCTGTCAGTGGAAATGTCAAATCTCGCATCCTTCTCGAACACCCAAGCCTTTCTAGCCTATGGCTGCGTTACATAGAGCGCTTGACAAGGTTTGCGTGGCTGTTGTGGTTGATAAGTCAAGTAAGGACATCTCACAGGATACTCGGCGTGTAACGGACTCTATCGAATGCATGTGAACAGGACGGGATCGAGCAACTGATTATTATCAATAATAATACCACTGTTATGAAGTATCTAGTAACAGTTGACCTCGTGATAGATGCATCGCATCAGAGCATAAGATTTCATTCATTCCCGGAGTCAATGATCAATCGACCCATGTCAAGCCCAATGGCACCGTGCCATCCACTACGGAAGAACTAGCAGTGCCTCATCGACCCGAACCAACCCAGGCAACAGTCTGTCGCTGCATTTTCCCCCAGAAGAATGTTTACATTGACTTGACAGCAGTCAGCATACCCGATCCGTCCCCCTGCATCATCGAGGGGTAGCATGAGCGGCTTAGTCTGGGGTATAAGGACTGGGGTAGTGATCCAGCCGATGATATCCGGATTGTGTATACCGGAGAATCATTTTCTATTATTAGAATTGAGAGAATTTCTATGTAGGTCCTTGGTCCATAGATCTCCTTTTGAGTCCTCATTCTCGCAAGTCTGCTCATTCGACCGGATATCAGGTCCGATGGGTATCATCATGAAGCAAGATAGGTAGTGAGCTCGCAGTCCACACAATCAACGTTATCGTCATCACTGTTCATCAGCTCAAAGTTTTCAATTATAGACGTCACACTGACAATGCTTCTCATCTGTTTAATTCTTACCAGGAGGGAAAGGTAGGTAACCTACACTCGTAATCATCAAACAGCGTAAAGTACCTTAATCTACCGACGGAGGACCTTAGTATAGCCCATAACCCTAAGTTCCTAACACCCGTAACCACCATCTAGATTCATATCTTGCAAAAGAACATCCAACAGACAACCTCCCCCAGAATGGCCCCGTACAGGACTGAAGGATCAACCGAATCAACCCACGAAACCGACTTCGTGGAAAGCTACGTCCTCCGCCCTGTCGGCAAACCTCTGACGAAGGAGTACCGCGTCTACTTCACCCTCAACGACAAGATATTCTCCCCCTGGCATGATCTAGCGCTGTATCCAGGCGGCAGGGAGCACCTCGGACACCGCGAGCCGGTGGTGCATATGGTTGTTGAGGTGCCGAGGTGGTGGAGCGCGAAGATGGAGGTGAGTTCTCTCTCTCCTTTCTCCGACACGCATTGAGTTGGAGTTGAACAATTGAACATCAAAGTTGATGGAGCACACGACGAGAACAGATCGCAAAAGACGAGTACCTCAATCCCCTCAAGCAGGATATCCAGGACGGCCGGTTGAAGTACGTTCCCAACATCTTTCCGCATAAGGGGTACCCCTTCAACTATGGGATGTTGCCTCAGGTACGCTCGCTTCCATACTTTCAATTGAGAAAATTACAGGTTGATAGCGAATTGAATAGACATACCAAGATCCGGGCATCGACGACCCTCTCACGCAGCTCCCCGCGGACGGGAACCCGCTCGCCGTCTGCGAACTGGGCGGCGCAATGCCGCATCCTGCACAGATCAAACGGGTCAAAGTCCTCGGCTCGCTGGCCGTCATCAATGAGAACAAGACAGACTGGAAGATCATCGTTGTTGACTTGGATAATCCCGAGGCAGACAAGCTGAGTGATATCGGGGACGTCGAGTTGCTGATGCCGGGGTATCTGGACACAATCAAGGAATGGTTCCGGGTGTATAAGCTGGCCGAGGGAAAGCAGGAGAACGTTCTTGGTGCGAATGGGGAGCTGCAGAATCAGAAGTATGGCAATCTCTCTACGATTTGCTGGTTGCGCATGGGATGAGCCGTGGACTAATCACGCACGAGGCAGGTATACCCTCTCGCTCATTGAGCGGTGCCATAACTCCTGGAAAGCTGTCAAGGTTGAGCCGGACATGCAAGCAAGAGTTTCCATGTGAGTAAGCCCCGTCAGTTGAAGAAACCTCTCCCTAAACAGAGTTCAGGGCGGACATTGCGCCTCATGAGCATGGTGCCGTTGATGTTCTTCCACGAAAGCCGGAAAATCGAGACGTCGCCTGTGACATCGACCCCATAGCCGCTGAGAAGAGTCATTTTCTGTCGCCAAATTGGCCTTCCATGGCTGCTTGCCGCGGTGGTGCTCTGAATGTGTAATCTGTAGATTTCTAGAATAGAAATAAGATGATCTCTTGCTAGACCAGAAACCAGGAATACTCTAACCGAATCAAATGGTCAAGTTGACGAAATCTAAGATATATCCCAGTGGTACCAAAACTGTGACATGTTGTCTAGCATACAAACTAACGAGCCGAAGGCCTCCATCCTAGTATGATCGCCGGCTGATTGAAGTCATCATCCTCGAACCTATTTTCACCATTAGCCCTTGATCCCACTTGCAGAAGGAGGCAAAGAAATACCCGAGTATAGCCACACCGGCTGTCTCAATCAGAAGCCTCTTCCCATACTTCAAAGGCTGCCCGGTCCATCTCATAGCCAACGCAGCCAGCGACTGACCAGGCCCAACACAAACGATATCCCGAGGCTCCTCAGTAGCGCGAGTAACTACCTGGCCTGACGGCCAGGTGGTAGCAGTACTCTGGATGACTTCTCTCATCTCGCAGATCAGCTCGTCAAGGCGATCGGTGACCTGCTGAGGGGTTCTAAGGGACAGGTCAGCCTCCAGCCATTTCCTCGCCATGCATGCAATCTCACAAGGGGAAGAAAAGAAGACATACTCGCCTCCGGGACAGCCATCCTCCCAGATGGACCAGGGCCTTTCCTTGTCTAGCCCCGCTTGCCTGCGTTTCTCGTGGATATCTCCCGAGGTCAGCCCTTCATACTCGCCGTAGTCCCACTCAACAAGGGAGGGAGTAATCTGGATCGTCGCTTCGGCCACTTCGCCCGTAACAGGAGGGATCGCTGTCGTTGTCGTCTGCTTGGTGGTTCGATCGTAGAAGTGCTGGTGGTGGTGCATTCCCAGATGGAGGAGTTCACACGTACGACGATCTCGTGTTCTTGGACTAATATATCTGGTATTGAAATTCTCCTTCAGCTTCCAAATCTCCCGCTTATGATGGCAGTGACCGTGAGTAGCAGAGGCCTTACATGCGTGAGATCCTGTTGGGATCGATCAACTTGCCCTCACCGACATACCGCTCCCGAGTCTCTTCGACTTGTTTCTCCCCTAATTTCGAGACTTTATTGTCGGTTGTGCTGATATGCTTCCTCCCCTCGGTCCCTTCGGTTTCACCATGACGAATCAAGAATACACGAGAACTCATTTTGGATGGAATGCGAGCGAGTAAACTGTCAGCGCGATGTTATACAGCTCTAGAAAGAACAGCTCCGTGTTTGTGTGCAATCGAACACACCCACCTAGGATCATGGCATTCAGCAGGAGACCCTTCAACATAATGTCATTGCCAATAAATAAACATGTTCATACCTACTTCACAGCGGAATTTGCGGTCCGTCGACTTTCGGGATGTCCTCCCATAGGATGAGCGGGTCTGACCTCAACATGAGGCAGGTACCAGGAAATACACTTCAACGCAGATAATTGTTGCCAAGCATCACTCGATCTCTCGTATAGAGCAACAGAGAAGCCTGAAACGGGCGTTATGAATCGATTAGGCTGGTGTTGTTCGTTCTTGGGACGTTATTATCGTATCACGAATTAGTATTGGATGTTGTCTAGTCTATAAACATTTTTCGCCTGTGAATAAACAATACAAGAAGAAAGCAGGAAGTGAACTCGATCGGCCTTCCAATCTGGATAGCCGATCGAGGCAAACACTACATCCAGTGCGCCAAGTCAGACGAAGTTGTAGTCCACGCTGTGCAACAATTGAAGACAAGAAAAGAAACACTCCCATCCCTGGATAATAAAGGAAAGTGTCAAATCGCAAAAGAGAAAAACAAAGTCATTGGGCCCGTGTCTATGCAACATACAATTCGTCGTCGTGTGTAAGTCATGCAGTCATTAATCAATCGTCTCATGTCCGTAGCCGTCAATCGTAGGTGTGATAGGGTGCATTGCTTCTTCAAGAGACCTCGACTCAGAAGATTGCCATGAGACCGCCAAGAAGCGCACACAAAACACCCATTTTGACGGGCGCCTCCAGCAGGTCATTGGCCGCGGCAACAGTAGGGGCCACATGCGCAGTCGAGGCGGAATACGAAGGACGGTAGGAGCCAATAGTGATAATCTGATAAGTAGTTGTCGAAGCAAGATGTCCGGTCGACTTTGTCACACTTGAGCCGGTCGAGATCGAAGAGACGGAACTGGTTTTAAGCCCGGAGTGGGAAGATGAAGCCGGCGACGAAACCAAGGAAACTGACGTAGAGAGGGGCGTAGACTGTATTGTAAGGAAAGAAAGGCATTAGCATGTCTCATCGAAAAAGCAGCAGAGGCAAGTGAAGGGCAATGCTCACTCACAGAAGCCGCACTGGGCGGCTGGACTTGTCGAGATCCGGAAAAGGTCCAGCCACTGGGCAGAGTCGTCTGCTTCGCGACAGAAGACGACAAAGTGGTAGGCTTGGGAACCCAGGGCCAGATACTCGGGGTTACAAAGCTCGACGTCTCACGGTGCGTGCCACTGAAAGGAATAGGAGCACTGTCAATTGTCGCGGTCACAGGAGGGGCAGACTCGACAGTTGAAATAGACTCAGCGTCACTATTACCATTGATTTGACCTCCCTGGGAGGTGATGGACCGCCACGAGCCACTCTTGTCGCTATAAGTATACGACGTACCAGTCGAGTAGTCGGTCGCAACGAGCGACTTGAGGTACATGGTATAAGGACCGGCGCTGTAATCGGTTTGGCCACCAGCCCATTCTAAGAGGTGTTAGCATATACCGCCAGTCGATATCATCACCGCAGGAGGGATGGTCACTCACGAATTGTGCCTGGCGCATTGTTGGGATCACCGCCAGCCCATACACCAACCTTGACCATCATTGGGCTCTGAGGGTAATTGTCTCCGGCAGTCTCAGGAGTGAGAACCCGGACAGTCTTGCCATCAATTTGCCAAACAATCTGCGTGCTAGTCCAATCGATTGTGTAGGTGTGGAAAGCATCGTGGTTTCCAGCATTGTCGTGGGTAGCGCCGCGATTGTAGCTGCCAGTGTTTCCTTTTCCGAAGTAGTTGGTCTGCACATACAGATTGTTTGCTCCGAGCCATTCCCAATCGATCTCATCCAGGTCATCAGACTGCAGAACTGCACTACTGACAATGCCCGTTCCTGGTGCGGTCTTGATTACGAACTCGACGTGACCAAACATCATGTACCAGTTGGACTGGATCAGCGGGGAATCACCCTGCTTGGCCACGGTGAAAGCAACACCATTGCTGTCGTAGGTGGGACTTCCAACTGCGGTGAAGTCGGAGGAAGCACCTTTGGTGAAGTCATAGGTGACTGATCTCCCCAGAGCGGGATCCGCAGGGCAAGCTTTTTGACATGTCAGAATTATTCGCTGAGATGGCAGTTTTCGAAAGGTACAACTCACTCTTCTGCAGTGGGTTGCAGTCAGTGTATGTCTGAGCTGCCACGAAGGCAGAGGAAGAAAGCAGGCCGATGGCCACACCAACGAGAGACAATCTCATGGTGAGAGGCTTCGGAGGTATTGTGAGGACTGATGGGATTTCGAAGAGGAGATTGCAGGTGATGTGATAATACAGCAGAAAAGATGAGATTTGAAAAACTACTAGATGGTACGTATGAGAAACAAGGTAGTACGAGCAGGTGGTTGTATGCAGGAGAGAGAGAAGGGAAGAAAGGAGGAAGAAGAAGAAGGACTCAGAATAGTCCTCTTATTGACCGAGGTGATGCATTGACAGGAAAGAACAATTCACCGCCGCAAAAGCAGTAACGACCAAGGACCAGGCAACAGGCTTTTCTTATCACCTTCCTACTGTACTCCGTACTAGTAGCTGTCCTCCATCTGAGGGAAGGAAAGCTTCTGACCGACATCATGGGGGATCACTTTGGAGGAAAGTGAGTTGAGTAGTCCAGCCTCCTCACTTCCTTTCTTCTGCTGTCATCATCATTTTACCTCTTTTGGGCAAGTTAGCGGGCGGCCCAGTGGAGACCTTGCAACCTAAGGCAGATCCACACAAGGTCCCCGGTCCCGCCCTTCCATTCCTTCTCGAAGCTGTCATTGGCTCGAGCATTCAGCTGCGGCGCTTTTTTTTTTTGTGGCTGCCCGGTCATCGGTCATTGGTCGCCCTCCTACACGTGACAGAAGCGGTTGAGTGACCAAGATCGGCTGGGAGATACCTTATCCCTTATCCACCCTACTACTCCGTACCAAAATAGGTTTTTTCAGGGCTAATTGCGTCTACTATAAAAGGGTACAGAGTATAGCTTCTTGGGTTGTCCATGGTCAGTCGACCAAGAACCTTGGCCTTTGTATCCCTTTCATCCGTATCTAGGCGAGGTCGGTCCATGGGCCGGAGTAGCGAGTACATAGCGCTCTATATATAGATCTGATATCTATACGAAGCATCACACTTGATCTACAGCTCCATTTCTTTTGAGGGAAGCTCTGCCGTCCAGATCATATGCAGAAAGAGCAAGGTGGAACAAACCAACAAAGGTGGTGCAATATCCGTACATTATCAACCGAAAACCAAGCAGAATCGTGGCGACAGTCAACACCGCCCACTCCCAGCCTCCTCTTTTTCAGGGACGTTTGGATTGGACATGACAATTGATCCACATCACATCACAGCATCAGAGATTTTGCATGCCATCTCGATCTGGTGGATCAATGATATTATCTAGACTATGCGTTGTACTCTACCTCCCTGTTCTGCGACCTTTTAGATGTTGTTTCAGCATCTGCTGATCCTGCCATGACTGTCTCACAGATCACCAAATGCAGCAGTCATTCGGAGTACAGAGCGCGAGTCATTTGACGAATCCTAATTGAGAGAGCTATCACTATCTGGCCTACCTAGTGACTACAGTCCAATGTTTTTGAAGTCCTCGCGAATGTAGCAATTTCTGAGCTCCCGGTGTTGTCCGTTGTTCCTCTAGGAAAATGAGCGGAAACTCGCCCGGTTTCCGCCATGCTTGGCGACCATGTCTGACCAGAGGACCTTAACTAATCGCGTGGGCACATCTTCTGGGTACACAAGAGTAACATCAACTTGCTTTGAGCGCTGATTTAAATGTAACTCGGCAACCGCACCACCTGCTATGCTCTGGTACCAATTGCAACACCTGGCTTCTAATGTGGCAGGCAAGCACTTTGAAGGCACCAAGAAGATCAACAACTTCGAGAGCAGGCCGATGCTTCTGGTCATCAGATAATACCTATGAAGCTATCATCTTGTTCAAGCCGCACTAAACGATCCGTCATAGTATATTTTGAAGTGATGAAGAAGCATTATATGGTTACCTCTGTGGGAAATATATCTCGACTTCTCGAGAATTGAGGACAGCGGGATCATCTGACTTGATACAATGGAAACTCCGCCTGCGAAAAGATGTCTTCATTAAAGCACTGGAATGTCATCGTAATCGATGGCTTAGTAGGAGGCATCGGTATAAATATCAATAAATACTTATATACTCGCCGTATTTCCTAGCGTCTCTCTATATATTAAATTCAATTCACATAATCTAATCCGTCCGAATCCCCGCATTTTCATGGTGCATTTGGCAGGGTAGGTCGGACATGCCACTCTAATTATATACAAATCTCAGCGTCACCGACTCACCATATTCTATACTTGGTGTCTCCGATATGGCGGTAGCTATCATCGTCCCAGTCCAGACATTACCAATCACCTCAATCAGCGGTACAACGGAGCTCCTAAAAAGCAACCAGAAGAGTCCCGCGGAAGCGCTACATGCTGCGCTGATCAGTGCAAGAGAGAACTATGTAATTATGTATTCGTATGACTAGGTAGTCATCGCAAGGCTACAAATATTGACAATCAAAACGCATGCAATGCTCACTACATCTGCTCAAATCAGAATTCAGGAGACCAAGATAATTGACGTGATGGAAGAAGATGCCGTGAGCTCGACTACAGTCCTAGTCACTGAGGCCGCATGGTCTGGAGCAGGGTTCAAGCATCTAGGAATAGGTCATGATTCATGAACGCTAACAAGCTCAGCTTATTAGACCTCGTTCGAACCTGATCCACATCAGAATGGTGTTTCTAATGGTGATACTGGTCCTATCCTGTTCCTTGTTCGCTCTTCGATCATAGCCATTGCTGGATACAGGAGAAATCAAAGAAAGCGCGCATTGCATGATTGAATCGACTTTAAGAAGTTTGAGCCCAAGAGAAAGGAGAAAGGAATTTGTCAGGGGCAGCTCTAGGTTGGCCTTCCACATGCGTGCCTATTATTCCCTCCAGCCGAAGCACCTTGTCACCTTGCCTTTCCTGGAGAAGCTAAAGAACCGGGGACACAAGGTACCAAGAGAGGTTCGGAGAGTAGGTACGGAGTAATATGGAAGAGGAGTGCGCGGATCAGCTGACTCACCCAGTCACCCTATGTGCCCCCTTAAAGCGGCAACGCCTGAATGAGAGATACTTCTACCTACCTATTCTGGGTTTATGGTATCTCGTGCCTAAATCGAGAACAGATAGCCCAAAGCTCTAGCACGGAAATCTGCAGAAGATGAAGGTTCAACTCCCTGAATCTTCATGATGTAAGCTGTCCAGTTGTGGACAGAACAGCTGGAGTAAACCCATCGATGATACAGGTAATACAGTAGTAATAAAGACTCGTCCACCTCATCCAAGGTAAGTAGACAGATCAGAAAGGATACTGAACTGGTCGACTCCGTACCAAAGGATCAATCGCACCTGGTTAAAGGAAGCACAGACATCATCACGGACCATCCGGCCCCGGAAACGCCTCCAAGTCCAAGGCTGACAGCTCCCGTCAGGTATGGATGAAGCTATGATTAGTACGGAGTACAGACAATGGATGAATGATAGTACGTTTCATCCTGATCTAGGTATCTTTTCTGGAGTTTTAAACCAGATGTAACAAGCCTTCAGTGTCGAGAGCTGTCACTAATAATAAGTAGAGAACAAAAAGGAGACCCTAGGTACTCCGTAGGTAGGCAAGGTAATATCTCCTTGAAGTACCTACCTACCTATCTTTGTCTAGCTGCTTGAAATATTACAGTCATGTCTTCTCTTTCCCCTCAATTTTGAGTTTTTTCCCGCAGTACCTTACTCCGTGGACGGTGCAGGTGAGGTGGAGTGTGTACTGCGTATTTACCATACCTGTACCGATCTACCCTAAGCCTCAGGCTAACTAGGCTAACTGTAATAATAATAGCTCTTCGGAGCCTCAACGAATCTCAAACTGTCAAACTCCTGCTGCTCCTCCGCTGTTGGCGCAGGTTTAACACACTGACCATCAACGAACAACATCTACTACGCGACAATTCTTCCTGCTCCTTGTTTGATTCTCATCCATGCCTGGTGTTATTTGAGCTTCTCGGCTTATCTTTCATTGTTTTCTTCGGCCTATTTTGACTGCCTAGCTTTTCATAGTGGAATGTGTGATGACGTTCCTTCACCACTGCCGCTCGCCCTCCAGAACATGAAGGACCGTCCGTCTTGACACCGTCGCGCCCGACGAAATATACCCTGTGCTACGTTCTGTCGCCTCCGCGATATTATTTCTGTCTCCGCAAAGAACGACTAAGCCTACCTATTCTTCATATTCCTTCAACCACTGTTCGAATCGATGGCTTATTTTGCTCTGTGCATTCCGTACCTTTGACGAAGTCGAACCTTGCTATCGCATCCGACCATCTCGATCCTAATCCATACCCTCCGTACAACGTCCTCGTCGAGCTCTAGTATCCTTCCTCAACCTCCTCCTTCATCGCTTCCTCCGAAACCGTTGACCTCATTCATGGTGGATTCTTTCTTGGCTCCCGCGACTGCTGTGACAACCGGCTGATTTCTCGCTCCTGGCCCGGAAGAATTGGATAATATAACAGCATGTCGCTGCGCGAAGGCGATCATTCGCACAGAAGACGCAGTTCTGAGAGCTCCGGGGCCAACAGCTGGTTGTCGCAAGAGACTGTCAAAGAGAGTCAAAATCCTCGTCCGCTATACGATACAGCCATGTCGAATGGCCGTAGCAATTCTCCTTTCCCTGGGTCCGTGGGCTTAGAGAGGTAAGAAACAGCGGGAAATCAAATTTCTCTCCCATTCCTTCTTTTGCCCATATTGAATAACTGGTATGGTGTCTCTGTTGGAGATTTGGGATATGTCCACTTGGTTTCGCGGCGAGGTTGACGAACATTAATTACCGCCTGTCGAAAGCACCAAGTACTCCTTCAGAAATGGGGCTGTGGACTCTATCAACGTCCCACTGGTCTTCATGTTTTGATGGCGGATGGAATTCCGTGCCAGCATTTCTTCTAGTCATCTGTCGATACGGCGGGATCTTCTGTCGAGATGAAATGAGTGCTAACTTCCCTTAGATCTGCATCACAGGGTCACAATCAGCCAAACCCAGGCGCTTCGAATAACTTATATTCTTCCACTTTCTCATGGAATTCGCCCGATATCTCACCCACAGATCAGCGGAAAGGCCTTGGCAGTCACAGAAAGGCTACGGCGATCTTAGGGACTGACGATCCTGGCCCCCCACCAACGTCTAGCTCAAGCTCGAAACTATCACAGCTGAATCCCAACCAAATCGACTATTTCCAACAGAACCCTAATCCCTCGTGGCCATCCTCTCCTAAGATAGCGCCAATGGACGGCTCGGGCACATTTTTCCATGACTACTCCGAACATGAGGCATCCCCGGCATCTGCCACATTCCGTCCTGGCACCGGCCGGACCTTCGCCAGTGAACCCGTCGATCTAGACTACAACGGAGACCACCGGAGACCATCTGTAGCCAGCGCCACGACAATCAGCAGTCAGGGCTCGAAGTCTAGTACAGGGGGTCGATTCCGGAAGAAATTACAAGGTTTCTTTGGGGATGAATACCTCCCATCAGGCGAATCGAAGCAGGAGCCCGAACAAGATACTCGATCGTTGAGCAGCAGACCAGGCTCTATTGCCCAGTTTAAAGCCCGTGAAAGAGCCAATTCTGATGGCGCACGAAACTTTCCAGAAAGATCCCAGGATGATACTTCCTCACGACATCCTTCAAGACCGCGAACTCCCCTACCGTCCAGTGAGATTACTCCATGGCTGTATCAAAGCTTCAATGTAAGTGCACGACCGAAATTCCGTTGCCCACATTCGAATCCGTCTTCACATTTCGTCGGTGTCTGCTTTTGAAGGATTGCAATTTCTTATTTTGTGACTATATCTAGGACATTCCTCAGTTTGGAGAGGCTCCTGTTCGAGAAGCCCCCATCGCACCTGAAGGTCATCGCGTTGCTGGCCAAACTGCTATGAACCCAGGTGCGCCAAGAGAGGCTCGGAGACACTACAGCAGCCACCGTCATTCCCGAAGCAAGGAAGAAAAGCCAACTGTTGCGGGCGATCTTGCTGGTTATCCAGCTCGTCCAGCAACAGGACGTGATGATTCTTATCTTGGATTGCGCCCCTTCAGAGAACATAGCCTGAATGCCTCAACAGCGATGAGCTCAACTACCACCCTCGGCGGTCGCTCCACTAGCCCCACGCCGAGCATACAGAGCGCTTATTCCCGGGAACAAAGCCAGAACTCCCCCGGAGCGCCCTCCAACAAGCGATCGATTTTGGATAAAATTCGACGTACCAAAGCACATGGTCCCTTGAAGCATTTCCCCGGGTCCAAAACCGCGCAGGATGCATCGAAGTCCTCATCGAAGCTCGCGCGGAGGGAGGCTTCCCCGCGACGAGGCCGGCAAGGCAGTCTCGAAGGCGGCACTTCTATCAGAAACCTTGATCTAGGCGACCACGAGCGTCGAAAGGACGGGAAAGGCCTGGTTATGGGCTCCACAAAATTACGGAACCGGCGCGGCGTTGGCAATGAAGTACCTCCTGGAAGGGACGTCAAACTTCCAGAGGAGCCTGGTGTTTGGAGGCTTGATACAGATCTTTCACACATGGAGGGCATTGTTAGCCAGCAAGCTCTCCCTTCTCCAAGCGACAAAGGCAGAACCCTCGATGGTGTCCCAACGCAGCATGAGGAAGGGAAGAAGCCGGACGGCTTACCTCCGGGTCACTGGGATGCTCCGGAAAGCTGGCAGGTGAAGAAACATGGGGAGGATCTCGCTGCGCGGCTTCCAAATGTGGCAAGTGATTCCACGGGTATTGCACGTGAACCGGATGGCATTTCATACTTCATCCGGGTCTTCCGCATCGATTCCACGTTTGCTACACTTTCAGCTGGTCTGAACGCCACCGTTGCAGACATCCTCCTTATGCTTGGCCGAAAGTCTTTCCTTCAAGACCATTTGAACAACTATGAGATTGTCATGAGGAAAAATGATCTTTCTAGACAGCTTGATCACTCAGAGCGACCCATCCTTATGCAGAAGCGATTGCTGGAACAAGTCGGCTACACTGCGAAGGACAGAATCGAAGAGATTGGTCGGGAAGACCATAGTTATATCTGCCGCTTCATATTCCTTCCAACAAAACTCAGTGGCTACAGCAGCCTTGATGGCGATCCTGGATTCAGCAAAATGCAGAAGTTCAGTCATGTTGATCTTCAGGGTCGGAGTCTCGTCACCATCCCGATCACGCTTTATAAGAAGGCCTCCGAGATTATCTCACTAAATCTGTCTAGGAATCTGTCCCTGGATGTCCCCAAAGATTTCATCCAGGGCTGTATCAATTTACGGGAGATCAAATTCATTGGCAATGAAGCTCTGCGTTTGCCAGCTAGTTTTAGCCTTGCAAGTCGATTGACTTACTTGGACGTGTCCAACAATCTCTTGGAGGAGCTTGGCCATGTCCATCTTGACAGGTTGCATGGTCTCGTCAGTATCAAAATGGCCAACAACAAGCTATCAGAGCTACCGAGTTACTTTGGAAATTTCCAGTATCTCAGGAGTCTCAATATCTCGTCCAACAACTTCCGTGTCTTTCCTTCTTTCCTCTGCAATTTGAAGAGCCTGGTGGATCTTGATATCAGTTTTAACAATATCGCTGAGCTGCCAAATATTGGAAAACTGGCGACACTGGAACGAATCTGGATGACGAATAATATCCTGAGCGGGCCATTGGACGAGACATTCAAGGACCTCATTAACCTGAGGGAGATTGATGCGCGCTTTAATGCCATTACCAACATAGACATTCTGGCGCAACTCCCTCGACTGGAGCAACTGCTGATTGGACATAATGCAGTCTCGAAATTCAGAGGGTCATTCCCAAAACTGCGGACCTTGCTCCTCGACCATTGCCCAATGACGCAGTTTGACATTGACGCACCAGTGCCGACGCTGACCTCTCTCAACATAGCCTCTGCCAAGCTTGTGCAGTTCCGGGATTCGTTGTTTGAGAACCTACCCAACTTGACCAAACTGATTCTTGATAAGAATCATTTTGTTTCGATGTCAACACATATTGGAAAACTTCGTCGGCTGGAGCACTTCAGCATGATCAAAAATCCCCTGGCTGCGCTACCCGCGACCATCGGATGCCTGACCGAGCTTAAATATCTCAACCTCAGGGAATGCAATTTGAGAAGGCTCCCTGCCGAAATTTGGCATTGTGTGAGACTGGAGACTCTCAACGTGTCATCAAACGTGCTGGACAGTTTCCCCAAACACGGCAGTCCTCCACCTCAGCCACCTAGCGACACGGGAACTACACCTGCAGCAACTCCAGGGGGAGCCACTACACCAAGTTATGAAGATCTCGGTCCCGTTCAGGAGCAAGATGGACTAGAAACACGTCGACCCAGCCAGACGTCAGGCGGCTTTTTCAGCTCGGGAAGCTCACCAAATGGTGGGACTTATCGCAAACCGTCCATTGCCTCGTCTCTTGGCCAAGGCGGGAGAAAAGTATCAGCAGCTTCTCGATCGGGCACCGAAGGAAGCCCTTCTTCCAGGAAAGATTCGAACTTCTCTCAACACGTGGCGACGACGTTTGCCGGCTCGCTACGAAATTTATATCTTGCAGACAATCGGCTAGAAGACGATATTTTCCGCGAGCTGTCCTTGATTCCAGAGTTACGCGTTGTTAATCTGTCGTACAATGAATTGACCGAACTTCCGCAGGGCTTGCTCAAGCGCTGGCCATTCCTGACTGAGTTGTACCTCTCAGGCAATGAGCTGACCTCGCTTCCTTCCGATGATCTCGAGGAAGGAAGTAACCTCAAAGTTCTGAACCTGAATGCAAATCGATTTCAGGTTCTACCAGCAGAACTCTGCAAGGTCAGCAAACTCGCAATCTTGGACGTTGGAAGCAATGCTTTGAAATATAATGTGTCCAACTGGCCTTACGATTGGAACTGGAACTGGAATCGAAATTTGAAATATCTCAATTTCTCTGGGAACAAACGCTTGGAGATCAAACCAAACATCACCTCGGCGGGACCGACCACCGCCAACGGAACCGACTTGACTGATTTCAACTCCCTTACCCATCTCCGGGTCCTCGGTTTGATGGATGTCACTCTCACCACACCTACCATTCCTGAGGAGAACGAAGATCGGCGTGTCAGAACGTCTGCTTCACTTGCTGGGTCTCTGGCATATGGCATGGCTGATTTCTTGGGTAAAAGCGAGCATCTGTCCATCATCGATATGATCGTCCCACGTTTGAAGCCGGACAATGTGGAAACGCTTGTAGGGTTGTTTGACGGCCAAGCTCAGTCAACAGGGGGCTCTAGGATTGCCAAGTTTCTGCATGAGAATTTCACCTCAACCTTCTCTTCAGAGCTCAAGAAATTACGAGTGGACGAACAAGAAACACCGCTTGATGCGCTACGGCGGACATTCTTGGCGTTGAACAAGAACATGGCTGCAGCAGCCTACAAGTCGATTGACGACCGTAGTGTTCGACAATTTCACAGAGGATCCCCTGCTACGAAACTCCTCAATCAAGACGACATACGGTCTGGGGGTGTCGCAACTGTGTTGTATCTGAATAACATGGATCTATATGTCGCCAACGTTGGTGACGCGCAGGCAATCCTTGTGAAGTCAGACGGGACGCTGAAGTGTCTGACCAAGAATCATGATCCCGCGGAGCCCCATGAGCGGACAAGAATCCGGGCCGCTGGAGGATTTGTCTCTCGCAACGGAAGATTGAACGACATTCTTCACGTGTCAAGAGCCTTTGGCCATTTTCAGCTGATGCCCGCAGTCGTTGCAGCGCCCCACACCATGCACGTCAACTTGACTGAACAGGACGAGATGATCATCCTGGCATCGAAGGAATTGTGGGACTATGTGACGCCAGATGTAGTCGTCGATGTCACCAGAGCGGAGCGCAGAGACCTCATGATCGCTGCTCAGAAAATCCGGGACCTGGCGATATCCTTTGGTGCTAACAATAAACTCATGGTGATGATTCTCGGTGTGAGTGACCTAAAGAAGCGGGAGAAGTTCAAGTTTCGTGGAACAAGTCTCTCGATGGGGCCTCCTGCTTTTCCCGAGGAACAGATCATCCCCAGCACGAAGCGTACCAAGAAACCTCGTGACATGCCCGGCGATTCGAGACTCGCCCGCTTCAATTACGTGGATGCCCCTATTGGAGAATTGGCCATCATCTTCACAGATATCAAGAAGTCAACGAGTCTGTGGGAGACATGTCCCGACGCGATGCGTTCAGCGATTCAGATACATAACGACATCCTTCGTCGACAACTCGGGATTATTGGTGGCTATGAGGTCAAGACCGAAGGTGACGCTTTTATGGTCGCCTTTTCCACCACCACAGCAGCCCTGCTCTGGTGCTTCAACTGCCAAACCCAGCTTTTGGAGGCCGAATGGCCCACCGAAATCCTCGAACAGCCACAGTGTCAGGTCCAGTACGATATGGAGAACAACATCATCTTCAGGGGTTTGTCTGTCCGCATGGGTATACATTGGGGAGAGCCTGTCTGCGAGAAAGATCCTGTCACCAACCGCATGGATTATTTCGGACCCATGGTCAACCGTGCGTCACGTATCTCAGCAGTCGCCGACGGTGGTCAGATCTTCGTCTCGTCCGACTTCATGAGTGATATTCAGCGCAACCTTGAAGTGTACGCCGACAGTGAACGAGCTGCTTCTACTGGCTCGGAGGAAAGCTACGCCGTCGATAGTTTGGGGTATAACATTCGTCGTGAACTTCAGCAGCTCAACAGCCAAGGATTCGTCATCAAAGATCAGGGTGAACGGAAGTTGAAGGGCCTGGAGAATCCGGAGCCACTGTACCTCATCTACCCTCACTCGCTTTCCGGGCGATTGACCACGCTGGAACAGGTGGAATCGAGAGAGAACGGTCCCACGACCATAAGTAAACACTCCCAGCTCGAAATTCAGACGGATCTCATATGGCGCCTATGGGAGATCACTCTTCGCTTGGAAAGATTATGCGGTGCGCTGGAGAATCCAGGTGAAGCGCAGTTGAAGGAGCCGAACTCGGCTTTGTTCAACTTGGTCAAGAATCATGGTGGCGAGCTTGCCGATTCGACGGTGGTGAATTTAGTCGCACATCAGGTGACTCGCATCGAGGTTAGTGCGCAATTTTGATCTCTCTAGCTTTACTTTTTCTCAAATCTGACGTCTTATGCCTCTTACAGATGACAATTACTACTCTGTCAGTGCGATACATGCTGAGGCCCTTCAAACCTGGTGACAAACTAAGTGACCACGCCGTGCCTATTGGTGAGGTGATGCAACAACTACAAACCCAACTTGCCGAATACAGAGCGCTCAAGGAACAACTGGCCGTCAGTGCTGCGGGCATCACTGGCGCCTCATCCAGCTCTACAGGAGCCGAAGGTCAGGAGACTGGCGACAGTAATCCCAGCTCCGCATCTTCATCCTTCCTCCAACTCGCTCCGTCATCGGAGTAGCGCTATCTTACATGATCTCAACGTGGAACGTTCTTTTGGACATTTATCGCATAACTGTTCATATAACTGCTTAATTCTCTTGTCGCTGTATCCAATCTTGTTCTATATTCATTCATTACATATGAGGGGCGTCTACTGGGATGGTCGTTTCTGAAGGACTTCGAAGCATTGGTAGGGTGCTGAGGTGGTATTGGTCTTTGGCTGTTTCCTGTCGACTACTATTGCATTGACCGTACTAGCCTGCTTGACTGAATCTATTTCTACATCTAATCATCTCACTCACTGCAACGATGGGAATGACCTGCCATCAATATGATCTCCTGGCCTGTCAGCAGGTGATTTGTCCACGACCGGCTCAAATCATGTGACTGTTATGGCTGTTGTGATGAGGCGCGGCTAAACAAACACGTGATTTTGCCTGCTTGTTTATTGTCATTTGATTGGGTTGAGGCCAGTTTGTTCACTCCCATAGCCCGTCATCGGCCACTGCACGCGTTCTCCTTTCGTCATCATAGCAGGCTTCTTCATCTTCGATTCAGCACACATCCATCAACATCGAAGTAATTTTGAGCCCCTGTATAATTCTCATCTTTTGATCTGTGAGACCAACGTGTAAAGGGGACACTCTGAGCACGACCCTTATTTGAATGATCGATTGGTCATTCCTTAGGCCCCGCTTGGTTGCCCTGGATACCAATTTTCACAGCATTATCTTCATTGAATGCTCGAGGTTTTTTGACGAATAAAAACAAAGTGCAGTCAAAAAAAATCTCGACTCAGGGATACAATACGCATTTTTTGAGCTCCCATCAGGCGCGTTTGATCCCGATACTGGGGGTCTTCAGCCGTGCACGGCATTGTTTGATTTCCCCGTTCACTCAGCTCTTGTTTTGCTAGCAGTCGATTGCAAGCGTCGCACTACCATGGCGGACGGACTGGATTATCTGTCGCCAGACTTCGACCTTAATACACTCACCGTCCCTCGCCTCCGCTCCATCCTTGTCAGTCATGATGTCTCGTATCCGGCTTCGGCGAAAAAGGCGCAGCTCATCCGCATCCTGGAGGAAGAAGTTCTGCCTCAAGCAAAAAAGCTCCTGCGAGACCGCGAGAGGGTGAAGAGAACGAGCGCAGGTATCACAGATATGCCTAGTCGTGCGACATCGGTGGCTAGTGATTATGATGGACAGCGGGAAACTGTTGATAGGGAGTCTATGCCTCCACCGCCGACACCGTCTACTGTCTCGACTGCGACGGGAACAAGAAGAGGCCGGTCGAGAAAGAGCACGAGGGCGTCGACAGCCGATACTGAGGAGAGAAATGTGCCGAGCACACCGTCGACGGCCACGAGGAGGAAGGTACCCAAGTCGGAGATGAAGCACGCGCGCGCTTCGGACATAGACTTGCATGATGGCCCCGCGACGCCTGTTGCTGCGGACATGGTCTCTCCACGCAAATCCACGGCTAGGAAATTACGGAATAGTGAAGTTGCTCCTTCAATCGAGCCCGAGCCTCACACTGTCTACGTCAAAACAGAACCAAAGGAGGACAGTGTCTTCACCGATGACAATCCATTTCAGAGTGGCAGTTCTCCTGCACCCTGGGACAACAAGGGCTCAAGAAGCATGAGTCGTGATGTCAAACGAAAGACAAGTTCACGGCTTTCCACTGGCAGCCCTGGTTTGAGCCACGGACTGAGACCACGAAGGTCTGAGACGCCTCACGATCTCGATGATGATATTTCTACAACGCCTACAAGATCTCCCTTGGGATCTCCAGTCACTAATTCCAGGTCACCGAGGGAGGAAGTTGCAATGGACGATGATGAGGGTGAAAGTGAGCTCAGTGCTGGCGAAGAATTTACGCCCGATGAGCAATTGGCCTTGGAAAGACAACAAGCGGAGTTGATGTATCCAACCGCTCCACGGATCCGACGCCGAGCTGCCAAGCAGAGTACCGCAAGCAAAGCTGCTCCGTGGATCCTCATTGTCTCTTTGCTTTTGGGTTTTGGTGGTTGGTGGCGCAAGGAGAAGATTGAAATCGGATACTGCGGTCTCGGAAAACCTACTTGGTCCCTGGCAGAAACCAGGGTGCCCGAATGGGCCAGTGTGTTGGAGCCGCAGTGTGAGCCCTGCCCTCCACATGCGTTCTGCTACCCGAACTTCGAGGCGCGCTGTGAGCATGACTTCATTCTGAAACCGCATCCTCTGTCGCTTGGAGGTCTGGTTCCTCTGCCCCCCACGTGCGAACCAGACAGTGAAAAAGCTCGTCGTGTGAAAGCGGTCGCGGACAAGGCTATTGAAGAGCTCCGTGATCGACGAGCTAAATTTGAATGTGGAGAGCGTCTAGAGGACGGGAAAGAAGTGACTTCCCCGGAAATGACTGAACCGGATTTGAAACAGGCGATTGCACAGAAACGCCGTAGAGGCATGAGTGATACTGAATTCGACGAGCTTTGGAAAGGAGCGCTCGGTGAAATTGTTGCAAAGGATGAAGTTGTTACCAAAACAAAACAGTAAGTTGCCTATGGGATGTTTCTCTCCTCGATATCATGTTTTCTTCCTTTTTCTGGGTGTCTCGTCGTGCCCAGCCTAGCATGTATGCTAGTCTTTCATATGATCACGGTTCTGACCTGTATACCGGAACTAACAGAGGCCACAACGCAATCACAGACCCTCCGCTGTCCTTGTTCTCACATCTACCTCAATCGCACGACTCCCCCTCGCATGCGCCTTCCGCCGTCACATCCGACTTTCTCTCCTCGCATATCGACTCCCTCTTTCAATTTTGATTATTACTATTCTGGGTTTGGTTCGCGCTCGTGCAAAAGTTCTTGCTCGACGATCCGATCTGGCTCGTGTCCCGGAGCTGGTAGCAACCACGCTAGACCGCCTAGCGACACAAGCAGCGCTACATGCTCGCGGTGACGCGAGGGAACCGTATATTCCCATTGGCCAGTTGCGTGACGACGTTCTACGTTCTGAGCTTCAGGGTAAGCGACGTGAAGAGCTCTGGAAGCGTGTTCGCAGCGTGGTCGAGGAGAATGCCAATATTCGCGCTGCGGTCCGCGAGGGCCGTGGTGGAGATGTTGCGCGGGTCTGGGAATGGATTGGGGGTATTGGCGGCGTTCAAGGCAATGCTCTCGAGAGCAGCGTTACCAGACGACGCGAGAGTAACCACCAACTGCCCTACTCGTCTCCATCGAGCGAGGGAAACCGTCCTTCTGCCGATCAACATCAATTGACGCCCCGAGGCCCGGGGGAGCTTCGTCGTTGGGATGAAGGTAGACCCGTCTATTAAGGGAGCATATGGATCTTTGAACTTGAACTACAGGTATTCTGGTTCATTTTGGGTATTTTTATTGGACTTTACATGTACAATTGAGTTTTATGATTCCCCTGCCAATATTATCAATACGTCCTACTGTGTATAACCTGTTGATCTTTGGTTTCTTGGCGTTTTCTCATTTCTTTCTCGAATCAGGTACCTGGCCGGATGTAGTACATCCATCTACCAGGAGCTCAGGGGTTCCTACACCCTTGCTTGACTTCGCATATGTGATCTGATCTGCCATCGGATGTCGGTCGTCCTGGTACTCGAATCTGAACCTCAGTTGTTGATTTAAAAACCCGACTGGTGGTGTGCAACAGTGCAAGAGCCACGCCCCGTCCAGAACGACAGCCCACATATCCATGGAGTGGTCAATCCATTCGATCAGATCGCTTGTTAGGTTCTCATTTGTCAGATCTTCATTCGAGCTAACAGCCACGAAAATTGTGGCTGCAGAACTCACCGATCATTCGTCTGATTTCCCCTGACCAGTTTTTAGACCTGGCTTTGCAGCCAGCGATTCCATATCGAGACATCGAGGCCGATTCCAGAGTCTGAAGACTCCGTGGTCTGGCGTGATGGTCTCTCCTCTGTTTTCTCGTGGAAGTGACGTGGAGACACAAACTGGCAAATTTGCCACCAAAGAGTTCTACCAGACCTACCAGTCCACCGAGGATTCTCTCCGTCGCCACTCCTGGGCAACCGAAACGTGCGTGTCCCAGCAAGGTGAACAACAGTGGGATGAGGTTGATCACCGCCTCGTCGATTCCATTATTGAACGATTGTGCCCATCATTCAGCATCCGTTGGGAAGGTGGGGGATTTTGCCACAGCCCACAGGCGCAAGGAGGGGTCGAAGTCTCGAAGGTCGATTTCAATACCATGTCGCCCGGGCTGCCGATTCTCGCTTCGATCGAAGATACCTATCTATTCCAGACAGGCACATCGGATTGGGCAATAGACTAGATCATAGATAAATGATCTCTTTGAAGGCGTCGTTAGCCACGGGTCCGCAAGCCGCCAACCAGAGATTAGACAGGTCCAATGAGGCTAGTTTGCCACGTTGAAGTATAGATGGATGCCCCCCAGTACCACTAACAACTGTTTTTGTTTGGATCAACAGCTGTCAGGGTTTCTCGGGTCCTTGGCGGCATTGATCATCCCTTCCTGACCCCATCCTAGAGGAGATGGAGATACTAGAATTATTATGGAATTTCCGCTTTTCCGGACCATAGCGTGTTTTCAAGACTCGACTACCAGGGCCATTCGTCGGTTCACACTATTCGGGTGATACAAATCGTAGGCTTGTACTTTGCCTATCGAACTCGATATCGATTGTTAGTAGGTGGTATTCGTTCTTGCATTATTGTAGCGGTAGCGCTACCAGCCTCGGGTACAACAAGGGAGAAGTTGACGATGTCAGAATACAAGGTCCAGGAAATGTCACGATCACCGGTATTGGGGCATGGCTGTGCTTGTACGGACGTACTCTGTAGAATCTTGTAGAATTGTTGATGGGGTCAGGATGCGTAGGTGGCTTTTCCAGAGTTAAGGTAGATATCTAATGAGTGGCGTCTAAGGCCACAAGGCTTCAAGGCAGAAAAGCGGTAGGCCGGTGCCCACGAATCACGTGAAATTTCGTTAATCGAGTCAAATGAACGAGTGAACTACGTCAGCATCAACCAGCCAACATCAGCATGGCGCATTTCGGCTTCTCGAATCCAGCATCCAGACCACCATCGTTACAGAGAGTGCCTTGGTTATCTACCATGGTTGGTGGTTCTGATTGCGTGAGATGAGATTTGTGGTTCGTCTTCATCCCGTTAAGCTCGTGTGAGGAATGCGGACGGGAGCGGCGCATATCTACCTAGGTAACTGGCGATCCAATATGCAACATAAGCAGAAAACCCTTGCTGATCAAGACGGTAGTCCTCGCATCTGGCGGGGCTCGCAATGTTGTTGTTTTTGATGTTGCTCTGCAAAAGGCCTTTTCAGACCGAAGAAAGCCGTGCCCCGTTCAACTGAAACCACCCGTCTCGCGATTTATCTCTTTTGGCACCCTATCACAGCCGACGGATGTTATTTCCGGGAAGGGGAAGTTACGGGATTTCCAGAAAATCTACACCCCACAACATCAATAGTGCAATATTTGCTGCGACAACCAGAGTAGACGATCCGAAATGGAATGCAGAGAGGCCTGCGTGGATAATCGATCTAAATTCGCATTCCTCAGAAGTCCCTCGGCACGGACGCGAAGAGAGATTCCTGGGCTTCGAACAATGCACGAAGACGATTCGAGCAAAATACCAGCGGATTCAGGGGTGAGGGATGAGGAGGGTGAGGGTTGCAAATATGTACGCTTTTGAGTTCAGGACCCTGGCGCTCGGATTCATCTTTACCACGATTGCTCCATCCAGAAGTGCAGATGCAGAATCGCCCTTAACTCGAAGTACATATCTACTTGCCTATCAGAGTCAGACACCGTCGATGCTCCGCTTCGGAGCAATTACTGAGACTCCTGGTCATTGGTTCTGCCAAGCTGAATGCGCCATTGGCGCTTTTCAAGTATTCTCATTGACGGACGGGCTTGCGCCATTAGATCTGGGACTAGTAGTACTAGTTCTTTAAACCTGCTCGCTCCAAGAGGAAGAGGCTTAGAGAAGCACTACTACAGACTATGACAACTGTCTCCAGATTCACTTTTCTTTCTCTCCAGCCTATCTAGAAGATAAGATCTTCGACGCGAGGGCGGGTTAGGCACGATTGCTTGAGGGCCCCCCTTCCACTTACCAGTCACCACCATCCAACCCTCGTCCACCCCTCGAGTCTTTCGCTTTAGCCATTCTCTCTAGCTTAACCTTTACCTTCATTAGGCTCTAAAACTAAAGGTCACTCATTACTCAACCTCCTGGAAGGGTCGGAGACTCGGAAGGATCCATGGAAAGTGGGAACGGCCCGTGGATGAGGCAAAGTGTCACACTCACAATTCCATTTAAAAGCATCATCATTTTTTTATTTCTTTTTCTTTCCCGCCTCTCTTAAGCTTTTCGATTTCGACCCCTTTTCTTTTCATTTTCTCGTGACACATTGTTGATGACCAGCCCCGGAAACTGGACCTGAATAATCTGCACTTCTGCCCACTTACCCACTCACCCACATACTTCTACTGGCCCTTGGACTTCACTCATTTTCCGCGGCGATCTCTCAGTGCTTCGCCAATTGCCAGTGAGACTCAGAATCACCGTCCCAGTTTGCTTGAGCATTAAGCACCGTCGAATCCCAAACCCCGGCTTAGCGCTCCAGGTGACTTACCTTTCCTCAAATGCTCTTCTGATTGAGCATGTATGTCCCTCTGAGCATCTGAGGTTTGGTGCACCCTCTCGGAGAGGAGTATGTTCAAGAAACTCATCGCACAGAGTCTAGTCTGGTCTTTCTTCCTTGAGTTCTCCTCCGGTCCCTTGTTTTTTCATATCTCTTTCCCTCGGGGTCTCTTTGAACATCTCATTTTGTCCGGACCATGTCTCACCAAGGGCCTCCTAGGCCTTTTCGCCATATCGCTCCAAGGACCTTGCTAGATACTCCAACAGCGAGACCTGTCGCTGAGGAGAGTAAGATCCGGAGAGCATCAACAGCTTGCGCAGAGTGCAAACGACGTCGGACTAAGGTACCTTCCCCTTACCAAGCTTGACCCTCTTTCTCCGTGGATCTCCCGGTGTGAGTGAACGCGGCAACTTGACCCTGCCAATCATCGTCCATCGCCTCAACTGTCTCCCGCTCTTTCTCCCCCTTCTTTATGTCTCGCTTCTATATACACCATTCTGACAAGCTCCTTTCTCTTCTCCATTAAAGTGTAGTGCAAAATTGACCGGCGCCCCTTGTTCCGTATGCGCGCTCCACCACCGAGATTGCATCATCGACAAGGATGCCGACAAACGTCGTAAGGTTGCGCAAAAACGTCTCGAGGAGGATTTGACATACTATCGCGAATTTGTGGAGCAGCTGCTAGAGGCCCTTCGGCACGGCAAGCGTGCATGCATCGACGCCATCATCAACGTCATCCGGTCGGGAGCCACGCTGGAGGAGATACGCTTGGTCGTCGCCCAATCACTGGGTCATACGAACGAGGTCGATGGCCTTGAGAATACGGTTCCCGATCTCAAACAGCCGGATGGCGTATCTGTGAAATCGTCTCCCGATGCTGGGCTGAGCGCGATTTTGAATAATGATTCATGATCTCGAAATCAGGTCAGGTCGGTGGGCCGTTCGCGATGATGGTCTCCCTTTCTGCAGATGCCATCGACTTGTAGCATTGTTCCCACCATCGTGCCAATGCTTTGCAAGATTATTGTTCTTTCTCGGGGCCATGCTAGCGTGACGGCAGAGGGAGCTCATCGTAGGCCGCATCCTTGTATCGCACAAGAAGAGGGTAACTACGTGACCATTAGCCGTTTACACGTCCTTTGACACGCCTTCAGTCTCAAGCCGGGACAGGATTACCATCGGCTAAGACTGCCAACAAGTGGCTTCATCGACCTGTCTTCATTCTTGTCTTTCCTTTTCTTGCACTACCTTTTCCTGCTCCCAATCGATTCATGAATTACCATACTACCTGGCCCCTTCAGTACCCGTCTCCCCCAACATGACCTTCTTTCCACCCGCGTCAATCTCCAACCAACTGGAAGCGGTGGAACGTATTTGTCCTTGCCTGACCCCATCGACCGCAGAGTTGCAGCAGCGAAGGATGCATATTGATCAAACATTGATTTTGGTCCAACCGCGCAAGTTGACATCTGCCGCCGCGAAGGGAGTTCTTCTGTCTTATTGGTATGATATCAGGTGGTTGGTCGCACGACTGGCTCAAGAAGGATGGTTCTGCATAGCCATCGTTCATGTAGACTGTCGTCTAAATTCCAGCTGCATGCTGCATCTCAGCAAATGTTGACAGCTCACAAGGTGCAGGCTGGTTAGTATCAATGAGCGGAAGTGTGTTCGAATTGTCTGGCAGGTTGTCCCCGTGCTCAAACACCAATCTTTCCCCAGATCGGTCGCCAGTGTATGCTTTTGGTCAATGGTTGGGCATCGCCAACTCCGCGGCAGCTGAATTCATTGCTTGACAGTCTCGAGACTGCAAAGAAGTTCTATCAGGGCCACCGCTCGCCTACGAAACCGTTTATTCATAGTCTTTTCTCCTCGCCGTACGGGGTATACGTTGTGAATGAGTAGTCCGAGACGATGTGGGCGATCTCCATGCTTTGGTGCCCTTCTGATGATGGATTATATACGAAGCGGTCGTCATTTCTTGATCCAGAATCGCTCAGGATCTCTCCTCTGGCTCTTATCTATTTGGTCAATCATTTTGGCATACACAGTCCCCCTTGTACTTTGTCTCATCGTCGTCCACTTGGTGCGATAATCTAGCCAATTAGCCAAGCTCATAGACTGGCACTTTGCTGTGAACTCCTATTTTCTGCCATCGATCTGTAGACTGTTGTTTCCCGTTCTTTGAAGCTGTAGTAGCTAGGGACTCGCCGCCATCTAAGCAGCACGTGATGGGATGTTCATTAGGAGACCTGGAGGCTTCTGTCGTCATGTCTGGAGCAGCTTGCATCGAGACATTCAGCGTGACTCCATAATCCCCCTTGTAATGACTACCCAACATCACAAGTTCTCGTTGAAGGGATGAGGTGGCAACTGTGGAGCACCACTGGGAGTCATGCTCCAAGTCTCCTCTCCAACCCCGCACGTCTCCAAAGTTCGGCCACAACACTAAGACTAAGAAGAGAAGATGACCTCTCCCGAAATTCGCTCGGAAAATTCTCCATCTTAGAGTCATACCTCCCCACTTCGAACGTCTGTCTTCTGATGCTTGTGCGATGGCAGCGGAAAAGGAAAAGAAGCAAGTAGGAACGGAAATCTCCACAACGCTGTCTCATGCCTAGAAAACGACCTGCCACGTCGTCTCGCCTTCCGAACCAATGGGGGCTACTCTTATGACGAGGGTCAATACTACACAGCTATCGCCCGGAAATGACAGCGCCGTCGGAATTAGCACAGACGGCCCGCACCTCGCTCGGCGGAAGCGAAAGGCATCTGACTCATCGTCGCCAGCAGCCAAGGGCCCTGTGCAACGGCAGAAGATTACACGGGCATGCGACTACTGCAAGGAGAAGAAGACACGGTGTACGGGGACGCTGCCGTGTGTGAGATGTGCCCGACTTTCGCTCCGCTGTGAGTACAATGCGGCGTACTCGAGGGGCCTGCCGCCGGATCCTTTGCCTGCGCCGCCGTCGTTGGTGAATTATGCGGATGAGGGTCATGCGCGGGGAGGTACTCGTCCTGCGCGGAGTTCGATCTCCCCGCGATCGTCGAGAGACTCGCCCAGGACTACGGTGGGGTTGCTCCCGCAGCCTTGTAAAGCTGGTTCTGAGGTGTCGCGGCGTGATTCGCCGGACCCAGTGGTCACGGACTTTGAGGGTAACTATCTCGGGCCGGCGTCCGGGGTCTCGTTCTTGAGTCGCGTCTGGAGTCGCCTTCATCAGGATGAGTCGTCGGCTATCCCTGACGAACTGCAGGATGAATCTGTCTCCAGGAATACATCCGTTTTCAAGTTCGGGGATAAGCCTTACTCGAACTACCAGGAGGCTGGCTTCACGCTACCCCCTTTCGAAAAAGCTCTGGAGCTTGTGGGCATCTACTTTGACTTCTCGATGGTGACTTACCGTTTCTTGCACAGAGGTAGTGTGGAGGAATGGCTCAAGCAGGTTTATGAAGACAATGTCTCTTTCGCGAACCCACCGACCGGCATTATGGTAGCCCGGACTGCCATCGTACTTATGGTCTTCGCTGTAGGTACTCTGTATGAGGAGCAGAGGCCTGGTGATCCAGGCGAATTTTGCAATGAAAGGTGAGCATCTACACACTCACTTTCTCTTTCTCATCTTCAAACACTCAGAGATTACAGCGAACGATGGTATGCGGCGTCTAGATGGGCATCTTCTATGGAATCCGGACCCCCTCGATTAGAGACCGTCCAAGCACGACTAGGCCAATGTCTCTATTTGCTTTCATCATCGCGGGCCAATGAATGCTGGTATACCTTCGGCACGGCTCTCCAGCTAGTGACGGCTCTCGGATTGCATCGAAGATGGCCCGCGAAGATGTCGAAGCACGGCAACTCTTATCTTGAGCAACAACTCCGCAAGCGGATTTTTTGGAGCGCTTATACGCTGGACAAGTACCTCAACGTCATGTTTGGGAGACCGCGGTTGCTGCATGACGAAGATACCGATCAAGAATTTCCGGATGAGGTCAATGACGAAGATATGTTGCAGGAGGATCCGCGGCGCCGGACCGGTTCACCAGATTGCTTGATGATTGCGTCCGTGCTTCACTACAGGTTTGTCGATTCAATTTCGTTTTTGTGCCATCCCTGCATGCAACCGAAGCTAAGTCTTCAACTTGGCAGGCTTGGGCGTATACTGGGTGAAATCTCTCGACAGCTTTACACTATCAACCCTTATACTCGAGACTCGCCTCTTGAGACTGCCGCTCGCCTTGCCTCGGAACTCGAGAAATGGAAAGAGACTGCGCCACCCTTGTTCAACAGTGTCCGAGCGACGAGTCTGATCCCGCCACTTTGCAGACAGAGTCAGGTTTTGCAGCTTGCGTATTCACACGCGATGATCCATGCGACCCGGTCATTTCTGTTGAATGATTTTACGGATCTCAGTCGTCGACCATCGGTTCCGCATCCGATGGTCTCGAGCCACGTGCGCAAATGTATAGACGCTGCGGAAGACGTGATGAAATTAGTGGATAGCCTGGCCAAGCAGGCTGTCTTGATCCAGTCATTCTGGTTTACGCACTATGTGTGCTTCTGCGCCATCATCGTGGTCTATATCCACACCATTCAACAACATCGACTCGCCTCGGATCCTAACACGGCTTCCCCGAGGAGTGTAGAAGACAGCGGCTATCTTCACTCTCTCTTCAATCTTGCAGAGACTTGCCAACAACATCTGGCTGAGGCTACCCGCAAGAATTGCCCTAGCCGCCGCTATAGCATTATCCTGGAGGAGTTGAGAAGGGAAGTACATCGGCAGATTGGATCACCTATTCAGCCTGAAACTCTGGAAAACTCTTATGAAAATCTCCGCAGCAATTCCATACGAGATAAAGAGACTCTCATGGCGGGTCAAGGGCATGCAGATCCGGTGCATGTCGAGCAACCGACCTCCATGTTTACCAACGCGACGATCCACCAGCCCGCACCTGGCGGTATCCAACCGCCGGATTTCCTAGAAGGGCCCTTCGGGGCTTCTGAGGACTTCGGTATTGTTGATAATCTTGAGGGCTCGATCTGGTGGGCTCAGCTCGATTCCTGGGTAAGTAGATGTCCACTCCAGCTGCTGGCAGTTTCCGTCGACATGCTTACTGGTCTTCATTCAGGCGTTCTCGAGTCTTCCGAATGATCCTTCTACGATGCCTTTCTGAGCTTGCTGTTCTGAATCTCCTTGTAATGGTCCTGCTTGTTATGCGATACTTTTATCTACTGTTTATGCAGAGACGATACAGAACATTTGCTCACTATGTTACTGATTGATAATGGATGTATGCGTGCTTCCTATTGCAGGGGAATACTTCTCAATGCATTCGACTCACTTTGGACATGAGCTTTGATCATTCTAGAGTCCGATACTTCTTGTCTGCAGACTAGGGAGCGTTTTGCAGCTCGAAGGATCTATTCCAGAGGCATTAGTAGTGAAGTTTGGTGGGCCGCTGACAAGGGTGAGCTGGCAGACAAACTGCTCGGTAGAATAAAAGCAAGCGATACACTGACAAGTCTTTTCTGATCAATTACCGGATATAGCAGTGCAATACCCAGCAACCTTGCAAACCGACGCTCAAATTTACTGGCTAAATAGGGCAGAGAGACCGCAATGGCTGTGGGCATAGCTTCATCTCCGCTCGGATTAATATCCGAGAGATTGCACCAACAATTTCCGCCCTCCACGACAGGAAGATCTGGATGCAAGCCTGCGACTGTCGGATTTGAAGATCATTCACAGATGTCATACGTGTGGGGATCAAGTCAAGATGGGTTTAAATATACTTGGTCCCCTTCACTTATACCAACTTGTTCGAAAGGACAACTCTCCGCATTCTGTTGGAGTCCTCGGTTCAATATCTACCGACCATGCTATCCTCGCCACTTGCCCCAATAACAACGCTTCCTGGAGGGCATGATCCGGAAAACAGGGCTCGTCCGGAAGTATACGACAGAGAGCCCTTGACAGTCGATGAGCTTGTCCGGCACCGCGCATCTTTACCACCATCGCAGCAACCGGTGATATCATACCCGCGGACTGGCATTGACTATGTGGACTACCCGCTGCATCAACTCGATGTCTTCGCGTTTCGAGTCGCCAAAGCCATTGCTGACCGGGCCCCCCCGCGGACGACTTCATCGGAAAAGCCAGCTGTCGTTGCGCTGCTGGGACCGTCTGATCTTAACTACCTGGTCATGCTTCTGGCTTTGACGAAGCTCGGCCATGCAGGTTTGCTCCTCTCGACGAGGATATCCGTCGATGCGTACGTGTCTCTGCTGGAAAAGACGCACGCGAAGCATATTTTCATCCACAGCTCCTTCAGGGAGACTGCTGCAGAGATCAAGCAGCGGATTCCGAACTTATTGGTCGATGAGATTCCGACGCAGGGGCACTATGATTACCCGATTACCGAAGTCGTCGATACGAATCTCATGCCGCATTTGGATCCTGAGGTTGAATCGAAGCATATCGCATGGATTATCCACTCGAGTGGCTCGACCGGGCTCCCCAAGCCTATTTTCCAGACCCAGAGCGCTGTCATCAGGAACTATGCAGGCAACATGAACATGACCGGGTTCATCACGCTGCCTTTGTACCATAATCATGGACTCAGCTGTCTGTTCCGCGCAGTGCACTCGTGCAAGTCCTTGCGTCTGTACAATGCGGAGTTGCCGCTCACGAAGCAGTATCTGTTGGATATTATGCGTTCGCACGAGTTTGAGATCTTCTACGGAGTCCCCTATGCACTGAAACTTCTCGCCGAATCTAAGGAAGGCATTGCTGTCCTGGCCAAGTTGAAAGCAGTCATGTTCGGGGGTTCTGCTTGTCCCGATTCGCTGGGAGATCTCCTTGTTGAGAACGGAGTCAATCTGATCAGTCACTATGGAACGTAAGTATTTCTGGGTGCCGGGATACAACTTGAAGCCACTCTGACGGATGCACAGGACTGAAACGGGCCAATTGATGACCTCTTTTCGACCACCCGAAGACAAAGGATGGGACTGGGTGCGGCCCTCAGAGCTGGTCAAGAAGTATCTGGCGTTCGAGGAGCGTTCTCCTGGGATTTTTGAGTTGATCGTGCTCGACGGCTGGCCTTCAAAGGTTCTGTCCAACCGACCGGATGGTTCTTACGCAACAAAGGACCTCTTCCTCAAACATCCCACGATAAAAGCGTACAAGTACTACGCTCGACTGGACGACACGATTGTCCTCGTCAATGGCGAAAAGGTCAATCCGCTGGACATGGAGGGTCGAGTCAGACAGCATGATGCGGTCTCTGAAGCCGTTGTCTTTGGAGCAGGAAAGGCTTGTATCGGACTGGTGGTCATTCGTGCGCCTGACACCGAAGCTGTAGCTGACGAGGAATTCATTGAAGGCATCTGGCCTGCCGTGGCACGGGCAAACGAGACAATGCCTGCGTTTGGCCAGCTTTCCAGGAACATGGTTCGAATACTCGCGTCCGATACGCAATACCCTCGGACGGATAAGGGGACGGTCATCAGGCAGGCTTTCTATCGGGCCTTCAGCAATGTGATTGAGGAGGCATACGAGGCAGAGGATGCCTCGACCGGGACATTGACTCTTTCAGAAGCCGAGTTGAAGGACTTTCTCAGAGAGCAGCTTCAGGGCTTGTTACCACTGAAAAACGGCCTGGCTTTGACCGACGACGCGGACTTCTTTGGCCTCGGGATGGATTCTTTGCAGGCTACGCAGTTGCGATCTGTTCTTATGAAGAAGCTAGACACAAAAGGGCAGAAGCTCGGATTGAACGTTGCGTTCGAGCATCCTACAATCAATGCATTGGCTCGTTTTCTGAATGGCTTAAGCTCTGGGGTCTCCGAAGGCATCGTACCTGTCGAGGAGCAAATGAGTGCCCTCATCTCAAAGTACAGCCAGTTCGAGCAGCATAGGCCTGTTCCGAATGGGTTGAGCGGAAGATATATTGTGAGTTTGTCATCTCGTCCATGGTAGCGTCACAGCTAACACTTCCAGGTTGTCACGGGCGCCACTGGATCCCTTGGAAGCCATGTTGCCGCGCATGTTTCCGCACTCGAAGACGTACAAAAGGTGTACTGCCTTGTCCGTGCCAGCTCAACAATTGAGGCTTACGACCGCCTGCTCAAATCGATGCGAGCCCGAAATGTCTACGCCGCCATGTCCGATATTGCTCGCAGCAAGCTCGTCGCTCTCCCATCTGATCTCTCGCAACCCACTCTGGGCCTCGAATCATCAACGTTCTACACCTTGACCTCGCAAATCACAGACGTCATCCACTGCGCCTGGTCCGTCAACTTCAACATGCAGCTAAGCAGCTTCGAAAGAGACAGCATCGGCGGCCTCAAGAACCTGATCGACCTATGCCTTCAAGCCCAGCGACCCACGCCCGCCACCTTCAACTTTTGCTCATCCGTCAGCGCCGCCGTCAACACAGAGGGCCCAAAAGTGCCCGAGGCCCTCCCCAAGAAACTCAGCTACGCCCAGGGCATGGGCTACGCGCAGTCCAAGCTCGTCGGCGAGCACATCTCCCTCCAGGCGGCGCAGCAGACCGGCCTCCGCGCGCGCGTCCTGCGCATCGGCCAGGTAATCGGCGACCAGCAGCACGGCATCTGGAACGCAACAGAGGCCATCCCCCTCATGCTGCAGTGCGCAAAGACCATCGGCGCCCTCCCGGCCCTCGACGAATCCCCGCTCTGGCTGCCCGTCGACACCGTCGCAGGCACCGTCGTCGACATCTCCCTCTCCCTCTCCGGCGACAATTCCGCGGTAGATCCCGGACAAGTCTTCAACATCGTCAGCCCCCATCCCTTCCACTGGACCCGGGATCTCCTGCCGTTCCTCCACGCCGCGGGCCTCGAGTTCGAGGCACTCGAGCAGCGCGCCTGGGTCGCTCGTTTGAGACGGTCGAACCCTGACCCGGCCGTCAACCCGCCCATCAAGCTTGTCGATTTCTTCGTGAGCAAGTATGACACTGACCGGCCTCGACGGTTGCTGAATTGGCACACGGAGAAGGCGAGGGAGGTCTCGCACACGTTGGCGGAGTCGAAGCCGTTGAGTCAGGAGCTTGTGGCGAAGATGGTGGAGTATTTCCGGAAGGAATGCTGGTGAGAAGGCAGGAGATTGTTTGGCGCTGACGGTAGAATATATCGAGTCGTTGTGATGCGTCTTGGCTTTTGTATAGCGTTGATCTAGACTAAACGCCATCTATATATATCTTCATTGGAATGGACCTTTAAAGCTCAAGATATCTATACCACAAGATCATTATATTTAGCGGCAACATATATCAACTAAAGTAGATAGACTTGCTCTAACGTTATGCTGATCATCATATCGAATCGTAACTATCTTGATATATACATTACGGTATATGCACGCACAAGTGTGCACGCTACGAAAACTCAACGGGCGGTAATCCCCTCTCCTCCACACCTTCGCTAATGCCATTCTGTAGAGATCGAACGGCCTCATCCCAGGTAATTGTACCCTGAGAACTGCCAGTCTGACACTCGCTCGCTCGTGAAGCTTTTGCGTCCTCAACAAGCCACATCAGCCAGGTAACGACCGACACAGCCTTGTCAATATCCTTTTCGCCGAGGACGACGCTTTTCAGGTACCGAGCGAGCGCGTCAACGTCTTCGTTGAACGGACCTTCGTCCGCGAAGGCTGCATGCCATGCGCCGACCTCGTCTCGGAGATCGGATAGACATGTCAGTTTCTTGGAGGTGAATGTCGGTCGTTCCGGGAGCGGAGGAAGACGGAGGCGCTTCTCCTGTGCTGCGGGCGCAGAGGCGGATGGTTTTGATGGGCCGATCCTTCGAGGAGCGGGTGGTTGCATGCCTGAGCGTTGGAGCATACGCGCCCGTTTCTGCTCTTCGAGGACTTCCCGGCGGATGTCTTCCGGTAGGGCTGCGAGGAATTCGGCGGAAATTTCGGGATCTGTGGATGGAGAGGGCTGCCGTGACGATGCTTGCTCCTCGGTACTGACCGAGGATGGCGTGGGTCTTGCGACAACGAAGTTGGACTGCGTGAGGGTTATGTTGCCCGCGGCCTTGGTACTGGGCCGACCGCGTCGCTTTTTTGTCGGGGTTGACGGCTTCTTAATCCTGAGGCTGCCGGATGACGCTGGACGCGAGCTGGGAACAGACGAAACGGCTGGTTGAGGTTCTGGAGTGCTTGAGGATTGTTCATAGTATCCCAAAATCTCAGCACGAACATCTTCCGGCAAAGCGGCCAGAGTGTCCGGGTCCAGCTGCGACTGGGGAGGGAGTGCCGTGGCTGTGGACTGTTGCGTCCCACGTGCGGGTGGGCAAGGCGAGGCCGAGCGAGACACAGGTCGCCCTTTGCCCTGCGACATCAGCTTCGACCGGATATCACTAGGAAGTTCAGCAATGACCCTGGGGTCAGCCTGCGACGGCATGATGAATTGGGTCCCGGAGATGTTCAAAGGTTTGTATGAATCGTCATTCAGAGACGGGCCATGACTGACGGCTGCGGCGTCTGCTTTGTGAGGGCTGTCCAAGTCGTCAGGATCCAGGACATGCTCATGACTTTTTCTCACAGGGGACGCCTTAAATTTGGGCTGCTGCTGGCTGCCTTCAGGCTTGTCGGTAGGCCCTAACTTGAGAGGTTCAAGCTTCGTCATCTGCACCCCCAAGCCTCTTAAATCACCAGGCGTTATTCCAAAGGTGCGAAGCATGGAGATTGCCTCTTTTGCAAGGACCTCCGGGGCGTTGGTCGCTATGCCCAGTACGACACTCTTGTTGAAAACATCGCATTTCCCATGCCCAAGGTGTTTGACAGGCTCCAATGGCGCATCTGCAGATCTTCGCATCACCTTCAACGTCAGCTGTTTGCCTTTGACCAAGTTATCGACAAGTCTGCGGTGTAACTCCTCGCACAAAGATTTCACGAAGTCCTCGGCCTGAGTCTGATTCACAAAGCGAATCCCCCAGTTGACTTCAGCTGAGACCGACTTCCTGAGAACTTCATTACCGACTTCCGTTCGGTCGATACCGCGAGCATATTCCCAGATTTTCATACCGGTCTTGGGTCCAAGATGGTTAATCAGTCTCTCGCGAGAGAGGTCTCTGACATCCTTCACTAATTTAACACCAAGCTCCTCCAGCTTCGCCCCAAGACTATATCCGACACCAGGCAGATCCTGCACCGTGAGATTGCCAATGAAGTCCAATACACCGTCTGGCTTTAGTTGGAATTGGCAAGCGGGCTTTGCCTTTCGTAGCGCAACTTTGGCCAGTAGAATATTTCCACCGATGCCAACAGAAACGTCACAGCCAGTCGCCGCTTTCACGGACTCTCGCAGATTCTGGGCGATCTCGTCTGCTTTGGCCTGTTCGCGGTAGATGGACCCTTCTGATATCCCTCGCCCGTCTGAACCTCCGGCCGCGAGACATTGCGTCGTGATATCAATAAGGGCTTCGTCAATGCTCACGCTCTGGACAACACCATCAACCGCAAGGACAGCACTGTAAAATTTCTTGCTCGCTTCTTCATAAGCAGGAAAATCGTACGGTAAGACCTTCAGCTCCGGACAGGCTTGCAGAGCACCCTTCATCCACATTCCGTTCTTGATGCCCCGCGCGCGCGCAGGATAGTTACAACTGGCAATTTCGGAGCCAGAGCCAGGACCGTGTGCAATAGCTACCGGTTGGCCTTTGAGCTCCGGGTGTTTCAGCGTCGACACGGCCGCGAAGAAGCAATCAAAGTCCACATGTAAAATATAGCGTCTTGCTCCTGGAACCGGCTTTTTGCGGCCAGCTTGAGAGTGAGATTTTTCCTTCGCGGCAGATTGTAGCTGAGCCTTGAGCTCGGCTTTCCACGTTGATAGGTGATGCAAGCGAGATTCCCGGTAGTACTGCTGAAGAAATTCCGGGTTCACAACACTTGAATTGCGCATCCTGGGATCCGACAAAAGCTGCGCGTTATACTCCTCTGAGGTCATTTCCGTTCTGGTAGGCACGGATTCTCGAGTGAGCGGCAGATCTGGGTTGGCTACGCCCGCTGGAGATTGCGGGGACATGCTACGACCTATTTCAGCTGCTGTGATATCCTCAGCACATGAAAGTTTGGGTGTGTCGCTCTGTTCAGACTTTGATGGGTCAGGTTTGTCCCCAGCCGGGTCAGAAGAGGCAAAGCTAGGAAAATCGCCATAGTCCGATTGAGTGCCCGTTTTCGTGGCTTCGTCATCCGCAGAAGTCTGTTCAAGAATTTCAGGAGGTTCTGCGTCAGAAGCAACTTCTTTGGCCGGCGTTTCTAAGCCTTTCAGTCGAGATGTGTACCAGCTGTTATCTGATTGATCTCTGTAACCGGACTGCTGTGTATTTGCCTGGCTGAGAAGTCGGCCGTTATCGAAGTTGAGAACCTTCTGAGCATGACCCTCATCGACTACTCTGAACGCGTCCCACGGGAGCAAGCGGCCGGCCTTGACGCTTTCGACCACCCATGCCGGCTTGACGATACGATATCTCTTGAACTCTTCACGCTTCTTGGGTGTGAAAGAGCTGGCAATGATATGGGTCGCTACGGTCTTGCCGTCCAAATATTGAAGAAAACCACCACCGTGGCTTACTATGAGACGATGGAGGTCCTGTAGGGATGGTTGAGTGTAGCCATTGACATGTGCGACAATGCCGCGGAATATGGGGGGCCGATCCGGAGAGGAGGAGCGTATTTCAGCGTCCAGATTCTGCAACTTGATCTTCTTGCGGCGCATATAGTCGCCGAAGCCACCAAACTTCGACGCTTCATATTCCTCGCCTTCTTCATCGTCGAAGTGATCTAGATATTGAAAGTGAGTATAACGTTATGCTTGGGAGCGGTAGCTAATTGTACGCACGATTTTCGATGCGCTTGCGCACAGCGCCGGAGTTTGCATCAAGAATAGAGCCCATGATGGGCTAGGAGGAGGAGCATCATAAGACACCACAGCCTCAGAGATATCACCTAGAGTGACAAGAAGATCAATGTCGACTCGTGTTGGGTGGCGTAGGACGCGAACGACCGACACGACGTCATGTGACAAGAGGGGGGAAGCTCTAAGGCGGCGAACAGCGGCAGAAAATAGTTGAGCCTAAGGCGGTGAACGATCTGATTGGTCGATGGGTTGTTTCCATGGAAAAGAGGGAGAAAAAAGGAAAAAAATTGAAAAAAAGAAAATAAGTGGAGACCTCAGGCTCCACCGCTTCTCCATTGCAGAAAAAAAAGTCGATCCCAAAGCTCAGAGACTCTCTTCATCATCTCAAAAGTTTTCCTTTCTCTTCTTATTCCATTCCTCAAATCTACTTTCGTGGATTACCTTTCTTTCATAACTTAAGTTTTCATCTCATTGTCATTTTTCTGCTTTTGCATTTGCCCTTCCTTTCGCTATCTGCATTCAATCAAAATGTCCGCTGTTCAGCCTGTCGCAGTCTATGCCCTCAGGGTTCCTCCTGGAGGACTTCTGATTCCTGCGGTTCCCGATGCCGCTGCTATGGTTCGTATTCTATTGGAGGGTATCAATTGATGGGATGCAATAACCTAATTGCCGATGATAGTTCCGCGTGAGCATGGCTGCCATTGATCCTGATGAGACTCCCGAGTTCGAGGATGGACAGACCCGCCCCAGAGCTACTCTCAAGCTTGTTCGCCCTCCCCCAGACATGGACCTTGATGAGTCGGACGACGACTACGAGGACGACTCGCAGGAGGATTCTGATGATGAGGAAGTTAACGGCGGTCCCAGCGACAAGGAAAAGGCCCGCAAACTCAGGGAGGCTGCCGCTCTCAAGGAGATGCTCGAGGATGAGGACGACGAGGATGACGAGGACGATGAGGAAGACTTTGATCTGAAGGCTGCCATCTCCAAGCTCGTCAAGGGCAAGGGCCCTGCTACGGATGACGATGAAGATGACGAGTCGGATGAAGGACTGGAGCTTGACGAGATGGTCGTCTGTACCTTGGATCCTGAGAGAGTATGCTTTTAACAAGTTTTCAGTCCAACCAATGATTGCAAATGCTAATGCCGTGCAACAGAACTGCCAGCAAGCTTTGGACATCACTGTTGCTGAGGACGAGCGCGTCTTCTTCAAGGTCACTGGAACACACACCGTCTACCTGACCGGAAACTACGTCATTCCTGCTGAGGAGGGCCACTCCCACTATGATGAGGATGAGGACGACGAGGATGACGAGGACGACTACGACCTTTCTCCCGATGAAGATGACCTGGCTGATCTCGACATCAATGAACTTTTGGACGACGAGGAGGAGGATGAACTCGACGGTCTGGCTAACCCCAGGGTCACCGAGATTGAGAGTGATGAAGAAGAGGCCCCCAAGCTGGTTGATTCCAAGGGCAAGAATAAGCGGACCGCTGACTCCGACGAGGAGATGGCACTTGACGACATGATGGCCAAGGACGGCAAGGCTAAGGCTGCTGCCAACGGCGAGCCTGCCTTGAGCAAGAAGCAGCAGAAGAAGCTCAAGAAGAATAATGGAGAGGCGGCCGCTGTTGAGCAGAAGAAGGAGGCCAAGGAGGCTAAGGAGGGCAAGGAGGCCAAGAAGGTTCAATTCGCCAAGAACCTTGAGCAGGGCCCTACTCCTTCCGCCCAGAAGCCAGCGGAGACCACCACCGGCACTCTTGGTGTCAAGGAGGTCAAGGGTGTCAAGATCGATGACAAGAAGCTCGGAAAGGGTGCCGCTGCTAAGGCCGGCAACACTGTTGCCATGAGATACATCGGCAAGCTCGAGGACGGCAAGGTCTTTGATGGTATGTTATCGTTATGCAAAGAGACAATATTGGATAGAGCACTGACGGCTTTTCTTCTCAATAGCTAACAAGAAGGGCAAGCCCTTCACATTCAAGCTTGGCAAGGGTGAGGTCATCAAGGGCTGGGACATTGGTATTGCTGGCATGGCTGTCGGTGGTGAGCGTCGTATCACGATCCCTTCTCACCTGGCCTACGGCAAGAAGGCTCTTCCTGGCATTCCTGCCAACTCGAAGTTGATCTTCGACGTTAAGCTCCTGGAGATCAAATAAGCATCTCTGTTGGCTGCTTGTGTCTTGAGACGGTCTATTGTTCACGTTCGGTGTCACCCTCTGTCCACATTGGCATCTTTCTGTTTCATATAATGTCCTTTGTTTCATTGTCCAAAAAAGGTGTTTAGGGGTTTTTGTTTGAACTATGAATTCCTGTGATATCCGACTTGTTTTTCTATTGCACAGCTACGCCATGCATCTAGCAGGGATGAGGATATCGCACGGAGTCCAAATCTCTTCCTCGTCTATACAAGTGTGCTTCTTCTTGTTGTATCATTCAATGATAGATTTGGATCTTATGACTTTGCGTTCCTTCTACTAACCCTCCGTAGTCACTCAACGTCAGATTATCCACCAAAGACGCTGTTTCTCTTGTCCAGACACTGATGCGCCTTCCTATCCTGTCTTGCCTACCACGGTCGTTCTTTCCTCTTATTATACTCCAACAATCCCACCCTCTCTTATCCCGTCCTCCCTCTCAATTTCAACTTCTCAACACCACGGCATCCCGTTCGATGGCCTGCATGGTTTATCGGGTATTATACATTCCTTCACTTCATTGTACCGGCCGTACTATCGTTAAGTATATTCGTTCGACCATAGTACCGTATACATGTCTTTCGCTCTCAACTAAAGCCTGGCTGTGGAGAAGATGGCACATCAGGCCGGCTCAGAGGGAGCTGGTGGCTGTCAAGCGGTTTACGACGCCGTTGAGCGCGGTGGCAGTTCTTGTCTGTCTTCGCACGATCAGAAAATCTCGGAAGAGTCATCCCCTTCTTCAGCATCTGAGCAAATCAGTCGGGGCAGGATCAGCGCGCGTCTCAAGCGCAACAGTTCCAAGCTCCTAACGTTACTAGGTCTCCGCAGCTCCTTCAACGGTACGCTGCCTCGGCATAAACGATTAGAGACTTGCTAATAGAGAAAGCAGCCGGAAAAGCTCAGCCTAGGGAAGAAGAGACTTCGATGCATCGAACGAATCCTGCTGAATCCTCTCAATCCTCTGGTTCATACGCAACAAAAGACACTCTCAGTTACAAAAGCACGCAATCTAGGGCGTGTCCTTGCGTTCGTACCGCGGAAATTTCAGCCCAGAGAAGCTCCAGCACTTTGCTCGACTCGTCCAAAGACCGAATAGAAACATGCGAGAAGGTTGCGGAAGGCACAGACTTTCAGCCGCGTCTTCTGAAGACCGATGTTGTCCAGTCCACTCATCCTCCGACCTTCGATACTCGTCGCACCAATTCAACTTCGGCCGTCTTGACTGATATCGTCGCTTACAAACTATCAACCGCATTTGGATATCCAACTGTCATCCGCCGCTCACATCTACGATCACGACCAAATCTTCGGGCTGTTCACTTCGTGTCTCCGAATCAGCCTCTCAGCAAGCAAGGTGATGGCGCCAACGATGCCCAGGATAGCGACGGTCCGTCGACTTCTCCCTGTGACAGCGGCTCACCCGTGAGCACAAACTCTACTCCTCCGACCTCTGAAGAACCTTCCTCCTTTGCGGATGGTTGGAAACAGTCGTCGCAGAACGTGGCTCCGAAGGATCAGCGCCTATCCCTTCCAGACCAGGGATCTCACAGAGCTCTGACTCCGATTCAGGAGTCGCCGAACGTTACACCGTCTATTCACACTGTTGAAGCAACTGCTAACGCAAAAATATTCTTCGAAACGTATTTCAATACCATCTTTCGCAGCGGGGATCCGCGCTTGGAACGTCGCGTCGAGCTCGAAAGATGCATCCATAAATCCCCACTCGCCCCAGAAGAGAAGGCCAGAGCAAGGAAAAAATGGCTTGACCAAGAACGAGAGCATTTACGTCAATACCGTCTACTGAAGTCTCGCCCTCACCGCGCCCGCCGCGATGAGACAGTGGCCCTGGCTGGCTATGAAGTGGTCAAAGTTCTTGGTCGAGGAAGCTTTGGTGTTGTGCGACTGGTGAAGGAGAAAAGACCCAAAGATGGTTCGGTCTATTGCATCAGCGAAGGTTCATCATCTTCTTCCTTCAGAAAGGATCGCTTTAATTCCCTGCGGTCAGCTCTTAGTGGAGCCGAACGTGAGCGTCGACACCCCATGACCCGTGCAAGGACAGATGTCTTTGCCATGAAAGTGATACGGAAGTCAGTGATGATACGCAACAGTCAGGAGGGTCATTTGCGAGCAGAGAGAGACTTCCTCGTTGCCTCGGCAAAATCTCGCTGGGTAGTCCCCTTGATCGCAAGCTTCCAGGATCACAATTATCTCTACTTGATAATGGACTACATGGTGGGCGGGGATTTCCTTGGCCTCTTGATGCGAAGAAACATTCTGCCAGAGCACTTCACGAGATGGTATGCTGCAGAAATGATACTCTGTATCGAGGAGGCTCACAAACTTCGATGGATTCACCGGGATGTCAAGCCAGACAACTTCTTGATCTCATCCTCTGGTCATCTGAAAATCTCTGACTTTGGTCTAGCTTTTGACGGTCACTGGGCACATGATCAAGCCTATTACAACGACCATCGGTACTCCTTGCTTGAAAAGCTTGGAATTAAGATTGACGGCGACAGAGAAGACAGGGAAGAAGCGAAGAAAGCAGCAGAGAAGTCACCCGATGCGTCAAAGAATCACAACGAAGTCAAGCTCGACCGCAACCCACCATCAACCAATGTATTAGACTGGCGTGACAACAACCAGAAGCGCAGACTTGCCCGAAGCGTCGTTGGCACCAGCCAATACATGGCTCCGGAAATCATCCGAGGTGAAGCGTATGACGGGCGATGTGACTGGTGGAGTGTAGGCATCATAATATACGAGGTACTTTCCTTCTAAGATAGGGTCACAATTGCTTCTAATGCACTCTGAACAGTGCCTCTATGGATTCACCCCGTTTGCCTCTGTGGACCGGCAGGAGACCAAGTGGAAGATCCATGTGAGTTACTCAATCAAATATCTATCTAAGGGGGAGTGTCCATGAGCTGACAGTAAGCAAGCACCATGTGCAAACATTGTTTTTTCCTGCTGAGAGACCTGCCGATCTGATGGTATCCACGGAGGCAATCGATCTCATCAATCGGCTACTCCAGGATAAGGAGTACCGCCTATCCTCGAGCAAGTATAAGGTCAATGAACCATTGATCTTGCCGCCTAACCTGAGGCGTTCTATCCTTTTCGACGATAGCAGAAACCGGAACTACCAAGGTTTCTACGTATACGCGGACGATGCCGGAGACATCAAGGCACACCCCTTCTTCCATGGCATCAACTGGCGTACACATCATCTGACCGAACCGCCCTTCACTCCCAAAGTAGATGGCTGGGAAGATACTCGCTATTTCGATGACAATGAACAGGCCATGGACAACGATGATGTTTCTCTTACCTCGGAGGAAAACCAAGGGCAAGATGAGGCCGACGGAGAACACGCTCACGAACCAGGCCCCGAAAAGGTGCAAACGCGGCAAGAAGGCAGTCAGCCAAGTAAGAAGGACTATCTCGAGTCTGCAAAGAAGGACAAGCACCGCAAGAAGGACAAACGCAAGCGGAGAAGACCACGAGACAAGTTACTGCGTGACCCAAGAGTTGGTAAAACAGTTCTCGACATTCGCAAGCGAGGTGCATTTCTGGGCTACACATACCGACGGCCAAATGCAGTCGCACTGGCACTTGCTCCTGAACGGGGCCGATCAATGTTTAGACGGGGACACCTGTCAGAATTATATGGATGTTGACATGTTCAGAGCCCTTGGGTGGCGTGGCATAAGTTTATTCGATTGTCGAATAGCAGTTTTGAGCTGCCCTCAAGCCATGTGAAGTCCTGGTCAATGGCTTGTGTATCCTTACCTACATTTATATATAGTGGCAGACTCCGAGCCAGAAATCGTATGGGCTTACGCCCGCGTTTCCATATTTTACTGAGTGGGCTATGTCAAGGTGTCCCGGAATTTTCCATAGGACGAGAACGCAAAGTAGTTGTGATTTGAGTAATACACGATCAGAAGTGAACGCGACTGCGAGGTAGAACGTTGAAGAATCACGCTACCATAAGGCACCAAACACCCAACGGCCCAACAATGCTCCCAAACTCGAGGTATCTAGAGAATTTTTATGCCCGGACAGAAATAGAGGACCATCATGACGCAAGACAGCCCTGCGTAAAGTGAAAAAATGTTTCATGAAAGGAAGGGGAAAATGGAAGATAGAATGCAACCGATCGTTAGGGGTATCATCGAGACAATTTCTTTACCGAAAGAAGAGGAATAGTGCGAGTTTGATATCAGATCAGATCGCAGGAGGAGCGCCCATGGCGAACGCAGAGTCACTGACGCGGTCTTCGGGTTTCATTGTCCCGTTCAGCAGGGGACAGAGCCTGCCATCCTGTTAGTTCACCTACCGGGCAAAGGTGGGAAGAGGGAACGCACTTCTTGTTGGTCTTGATATGACCGACTTGGCCGCAGTTGGCGCATTTGCGCTGGGTTCCTGCTGCCTTGCCGCCGTCGGCCGGGGAGTCGCCCGTCGAGGCCTTGATGGCGCCCTTTTGCTTCTCGCGCGCGAAACGGCGTTCCTTGTTGCGGTTGAGACGGCTGAGTTCGTTTTCGAGGCTGTGCGGAGAGACAACGTGGTTAGTTTTGCTTGGTGGATGAAAGAGGGACAGGAGGGGAGGAACGTACAGCTTCTTATTGCGAGCATCCACCTCGGGATCGCCGGTTGGTTGGAGGGATTCGAGTCTAGATTTTGTCAATTAGTGTACGAAGAGTCAGGAGAGAATGTGCAAACACGTACTTGGTGGTCAAGGCTTCCATCTTATGACGATGCTGCATGTAGTGCCGAATGACACGCGGATCCCACACCGTCGTCTCTTTCTGGACAATTTCGCCCCTCTCATCCCTGAATTGCCGGACGATACGCAAGACCTTGCCTTTCTGGTCTGCCATGCTGATCTTGCTGAACTGACTGGTTGTCTCGTCATCGCGACGATTGGGCGCTGGGGTCGGAGCTTCCGAGCGCGGCGTGGGCTTGCTGAACTCCTCTTCCATTTCGCGATCGATATCGCTTTCGTCGTCCGAGTGTTCCACCGTTGAGGACAGACTGGCCTTCTGGGAGTCCCAGATTCGGCGGATGGATGTCTCATACGACTTCTGTTGTCTCGCGACGTTGTAGCTGTGACCGCCCAGTTCCTTCAATCGTTGGGCATCCAGCTTGTCTTCCACACTCTCTCCAATGGCCTTGAATCCGCCCTTCATGGAGGTCTTGATGAAACTGAAACCTTCGCCACGGCCGGTAGGATCACCTTCTCCATGTAGTTTCAGCATTGCCTTGCCCTGAGATGCTAAGAGGAAGTTGCGGGTTGCCTTCCAAGGCGCCATCTGCTGCTCGAAGCTTTCGCCTTCGCCGTCCTCATCCTCGTCACCTCCAGTCTCGGCGTCATTTCCGTAGCCCGTATCATGGAGGTGCTGCTGGCCAACCTGCATGGCTTCAAGGAGACACACATCCTCCGGCTGGACCCATGAGCGGATGGTATCCGACTCTGGAACTGGCTCCAAGGGCACCCAGTACTTTGAGTCCTTGTCGTGCTGAAGAAAGTCCTTCACTTTCTGACGGTTCTGCATGTCGCTCGTGCCTGGGATATGGGCAGTGACATCACTTATGGACAGCCTTAGATCCGGACTCTTCTTCAGCAGACGATACACAAGCATCTTCATGCGATTCTTTGCAACAGTGGTGACCTTTCGCGAGTGTGGGCCAGGGACATCAACAGATGGGAACTGCTGTCCCGCGACGTAGAGATTCTCAATGTTCCGCAGGTAGTAGTCACTGCCGCCAGAACCAGTGCTGCTGCGGACGACTAAGAAATCTGTAGATTTTGATTGATGTTGGAAAAGAGGAGCGCGATACATGGAGTTGGAGATGGTCGGTGTAATCTCTCCGGGATCAACATGACCAAAGATGGAGAAGGGACTCTTGTCCTGAGGGAGGAGAACGACCGTCTCGCCTATCTCGGCTTTTGGACGCGTGGAGTCCTCCATGCTCTTTCTCCGATAGTAGTTGATAAATCGATTGGACATGCCGAAATTGGAGAGCATGAGGGGACTTTCTTCGGAGTACTCCACCAACAGCACGTTGGAGTTGTCGGCCATGGACAACGCCTTGGTAGAGTCGTACAGAGTCTTGGCGTCCTTGCCCTTTTGGTGCTTGCGCTTGATGTATGCAGGATTTTTGAACCAGCAGGTCTGACCGGGCCGAAAGGACAAGGCCGGACGGTGGAAAGATCTGGCTTCGGCTTTGGCCAGCTCGGTCTTGTAGTAGGGCCACTGCAAACGAAGGGCGGGCATACTGTGTTCGAGAGTGACATTGCCAAGGGTGCTGCGAATCTTGTTCTGATGATTCTGCTTCAGCATATCGTACGCCTGATCGTTGGAAATGTTGTAGCGCGATGTGAGACGCCGGGTGACATTGACGTCCATTTCTTCCCGATTAAGATCGCCCAAAGCCTTGGGTTTCTGGGCCACGGCATCGGGACCGCGCTCATCGAGAAGGATGAATGGGTCGTTCGTGTCGATCGTCACCTTCTTGGCGATCTGCGCGGTAGCCTGCTCTGGATCATCGAGCAGAGGCAGGTCGATGTGAGAGAGCGCAATCACGTCCATGGGATCTCTACCGAGCTTGCGCTTCTTTGCCGGGCGGGTGGTCTCCACAAGCCAGTCCTCCTCGTCCGCCGACTCCACAGCGTCCTTGGCAGGCTCTTCGTCAATGTCCATGATGGAGATATCATCCTTGATATCCCAGTCAGAGCACACGACACGGAGATCCTGCAATGTGACGCCACCAGGCAGAACTTCGTCAGTATCGGTGTCGTGGTCAGCATCGTCTCTGGTTTCGGTCGGCTCCTCCTCCTCCTGGGTAACCTCCGCGATGGTGACGATTCCTAGATGTTCCGCATCGAGAGACCGCTTATGCGACTGACCCCCTGCCTTGAAAATCCTCTCCTGATCTTGTGACAATTCGATATGTACTTTGCTCGGCAGGACGGGCTTGGGAGGTTTCGGGGGCTGCTTGCCGAGGAAGAAAGCCTTCTTGTGAGGGATGAGTTCGAGAAAGCGAGGGAGAGCTTTGCGATCGAACTTGGGAAACAAAGAGTGTAATAGTTCCTCGACGTTCTCCGGAGGTGCCGGCGGGTTGTCCGGACCGTATGCCGACATGGCAAACAGGGCTTGCTGGAGTTTCCATGCTCGGAGGGCCGCAGGATCCATATCCTCCGCAGTAGGAGTTACAGTCCCATCATCCTCAAACGGTTCTTCTTCATCATCCTCCTCCATCGTCATCATCGGCTCGGGTTCCGGCGCGGGTGCTTCGGCAGGCTTTGCTGTGACGGGTGGCTTGGTCTCTTCCTCTTCCTCGAAGAACAGGTCTCGAGTGGGATCCATCTGCTCCGGCCCAGGCGAAGAGGGTCCCTCGCCAAAGAGATCGTCGAGCTCATCCCCCGGGGCCTGCCGGTCCTCGCGGTCCCCAAAGAGGTCATCCTCCGCGTCGAATAAACCCTTCTCCTCATCGTCCACAACCGCCGCTCCGTTCTCCGCGGCGAGTTCGCCGTTTCGTTCTTCTTCTTCGGGAAGATCATCGTCGTCGATATCTTCGTAATCGATGGCGTCGGCTGCCTTTTCGCCGGGTTCCAGCTCTCTCGTCAAAAAATCAAACGACATGCCGCCTTCCCCGAAAGGTCCGTTCATCTGTCGCATCACATTTTCAAAGTCCGCATCTTCGGGCTCGGAGGGGCCCGGCCCCGTCGCATGAGGCATTTTGAAGGTGATGGGAAAAGAGCGTGTATTGTGAGGGAAATTGCGCAGGTGCGGTGTTGGTGGAAGACTGTAAGACACAGGCCGATAGAAACAGACGGGGACTCGAGAAAGCGAGATTAGCGTCTCGTAGGTACCGAGGCCTGCTCTACCTGCGGAAGGAATCGCAGCCGACCTGGGTCAGCGAAGTAAGATGTAAACGAAGGAACAGTGTTGGGTGGGAGAGAGATGGACTGCGGCGGGAATCAAGAGAGGCGAGGGAGGGCAGAAGGCGCTAGTCCTTATCGGGCAATCAGCTCACATGGGCAACCAGCCTCAACTACAGAAGACTTGAAATAAGCGATGAACAGTCATTTGATTGGCTTCAGAATCAAGTAGTCGGTGTGGCAATTTGTGCAGCGGTCGCAGCGACGAGAGTATTGTGGGTTGAGTTCAGTTTCCATTCTACTGCATAGATAGAAAAGCGAATAAAAATACAGGCCTCGAGAGAAAGTAATGGATGATCAAAGATCAAAGCCACCATAGTATATACACAGTGCTTTACTGGCTCCTTCCATGCAATAATGCACCACGGGGGCTTTTTCGCCGTCTTTGACCAGTTTCGCCAGCTGCTTCACGTCCGACGTTCGAGGAAGATAGAGAACGATGTATTCTGTGAATAGGGAGTATTCGGTGTACAGCGTTTTGAGGGAGTAGGGTTCCATGGTCCGCAGATTGAACACTTCATCCGAACGATACCCGGGGCCTGCAGGACGGGGTTAGACAGCTGCAGGGCCCGAACAAAGAAGTAGAAAGGAAAGGACATACCACCCCACGGGGGACTTGCAAAGACCACGCTGTAAGGAGCGAGTTCCTTGAGTTGATTCTTCAGGATCGAGAAACAATCACCCTCAAACCATGTGATCTTGTCCGCCACGCCGTAGACCTGGGCATTATGT